TATTTATTTTTATTTTGTGACCTGAATTTTAAATGAACTCACGATTATTAACACGTGCAATACCCGTATTACACGTTATATTTGTGTAATTTGTATAGTTATACCTAATAGATAATTTTTAGTAACGTTATGAACTAGTCCGGAATAACGTATGTATACAGGGTTTCTACAATATTATCCAAATGCTAATAAGTTATAAGCATTCGGACAACACTGCAGGACATCCTGTATATTTGTATATAATATATATTTGTCATAACACATTTTTTTTTTTACGATTACGAATTCCAATTTCACCGGTACTAAGTATTTACTTCGGTGGTAAATTGGGCCGAATTTATTACAACAATTATTATAATTTGTGTAGTTACGTAAATTAATACTAATGTAATATCGTTAGTATTCATAGTATTTTTATTTTAATTTCACTATTGTTTTTATACCTATTATGCGTTTTAAAACGTACAAATAGCTTTTCTTGATCAATAAATATCACCCGTCTAACAGCAGTAACAAAATCGTATTCTCATAATAACTGTAAACAATAATAATAAATACACGTTTTACTAAATGAAAGTCATAAGACATGTTCGAATATGAAATAAAACTAAGAATACATATTTTACTCCTACGACCCTAAATTCAATGGGCGATTTCAATAATTGACGGATTATCGAAATGTCGGTCCCTGCAGGCTCCCGAGACCGTAATCGGTTTATAAGTAACATCGTGTTTTGGGTATTAATATTACACTATTAAAAGTCTACCATCGTAATATGTTTATACGAAAATTTTCCATCGCGTCTGGTCAAACGCCAGTAAAATTGTATCGAATGCAATATAAATGTAAACATATATAAATAAAAATCCGGACGTACTTCCTGTGAAGCTTGTTTAAGCGTTTAATCGATGGGTTTTCCTAGATTTTGATTATTGTAAGATAAGTAAAATGAAAACTAAAAAAAATAAATATTCCCCGAGGCAAAAATGAGACGAAATTCGCTATCGGAAATCGCCCATAAAGTTGATGATTGTAATAAGATAATAGTGGTCGAAAAGTTGTTTACAGACATTAAAAAAAAAAAAAAAAAAACAAACAAAAATCATATTAAAACCGCCCCACATTCTTCGGGATGTTAAAATGTATCATTTATCAATTTGAACGTTAAATTCTCAACTGTTATTTTTTAAGCGTGTAATCGTTGTCACAAGAGAATTATGTAAGATATCATACGAGTTGTCTAGACCATGTTTAAAGATTAAACATGGCGTTTATGATAATATACCTACATACCTATAGGCACTAAAACAGAAGATATAATATTACAAATAGCACAATGTGCGCATTAGTCAAATTTTACGAATTACCGAATGTAAAAAAAAAATAAATATAAACAAACAAACAGACTTGTGGTAAAATTATTGAAATAATTGTTATTCGGACCTTGAAACAATACTCTGACTAAGTACTAAAAATTGTGAACAACGATTGCCAGGATTTTTGTATAATAAAATTTCGACGAGTGAAAACAAAAATATGCCTTATATTCATAAGGCATATTTTAATGAGTAATTAACAAAACGACTGGTTTATGGAAATGATTATTGTTCAAACCTTCGCATATTCTGACATTAATATACACTATCGAGTAATTATAAGCTATTATTATGGGTACACTAAATGCCTATACATTTAAACTAATATCTATTTTACTTAGATAAACCTAAAACTACCTAACGCGTTTGTTCGCTTCACAATATTATATGAGTAACAAATAACCATAACATGTTATTTTCTTCCAATTATTCCATAATAATGAGTTGATGTACACAAATTTTAATTGTTTTTTTTTTTTTTAATCTCAATCAAATTTAAGTGCCTATGTACCTAACGTATACCCGTCATAATTAACACAAATATAAATGGTATCATGTGTATAATGTGTTGTAGTATGTTCGTAATTGCCTATTTAAAATAACACGAATGACGGTTGTCGAAAATTTGATTCTTACAAAAATCGCATATTTATCTAACATGATTGTTATTTAAATTGATTTTTGGGTACATATAGAGCGTAGACAATATTATAATAAAATATTAACACATATACAATAAAGTCCCAATGTACGATTATTATACTATTCAGCGCAATGTATTATATTTTTATTTCGCCCAAAACTAATAGAACAAATTTAAAAATTATTAATTAATATAAATAAATACAATACGATACAATCTAAAATATAAAACGAATTTTCAAAATGACTTATATTATTATTTGTAATTGAAATTTTTATTAATAATGAGTTTGTTTCTTATTATAATTTATTTAATAAACAATAATTATAATTTAACGGAATGTAAATTGGAAAAAACAATACAAATGTATAATAAAATGTTAATATTGTATTTCACTGGTATTCTTACTCGGTAATTACGCTAAAAAAACATGTTTTGCTCATTAACAACGTGCAATTATTATTATTTTATCTAAATCTAAATCACCATACTTATTATATTACTATTGTACATTATTGAAGCATCGATTTTTTTTATTTTAATTTATATAAGTGGAATGATTATAGCTCATACCTATCGTATAGTCTATTTGTTTATGTGAAAACGCTTATTTAGTTAGTTATTTATTAAATAATATCCTATTTAGATAAGATGTTTAATTTGAAATTACGATTAAAATGAAATCGCGAATAGTATAATGTGAAAATTTTAATTTTCCTTAGGTATTTACAAATAGATTTTCTTTGCTTTCTCGTCTACGATTTTTTTTTTTTTTTTTTAGCTAATTATAATATAACGTATTAATAAAGAAGCTGTCGTAGATAATAAATTTTAGTAAAACAAAGTATTCACACAAAACAAACGCAAAGACCATTTAAATTGGTTTTAGAAAGAAAAAAAATACGTTTAATCAAATCTTTAAATGGTCATTTTGAAGACATGGACGTTTTTGAAATATTAATTATTAAAAAAAATGTAATATTTTTACCTTCAATAATGATATTAAGAAAATTGTAATACACCAACGTATTTGTCTTCAAAATATTTTTTCATTTACCAATTTTATATTAATTGATATTTACCGATAAAACCTATTGTAAAAGCCTTTTCTTTTGTTTTATATAATTGCATGTTTTGCTTTACTGTCTACTAGAAAGACAGAAAAGGCAATATGTCATTGAGGTGGCCTCTTAAAGATCCTGATTGTGCAGGCTTTTTACAAATTGTTAACATTTACAACTAAAAATTCTTAATGAATAATTTAATTTATTTTTATGTTTATATTAGGGAGCATGCGTACAACCTGTTTCTTTCTCTAAACATGATTTACAGGAAAAACACTCGTGTTTCTTAGAATGACCCGATGTGAATAATCTTTTTTTTTTCAGTTAGAGGACTTTGCTTTTTGATTACGTAACCAAAATTTATGAAAATTTACCTATAGCGTCTATAATACGTCAAATACGAGTCCAACGCGCCTTTCAAAATCTTCCTCTCCACAAAAAAAAAAAAAAAAAAAAAAAAAAAAGAGAAAAACGATGACGGAAATCGATTGTGCACGAGACTAGCTATCGAGAAAAAAACAGGTGACGCTTGGTTCCCTTAAAGGTGCAATATAATTAATTACAATCATATAAGAACTAGATATTTACAAGTGAATATAGGTACCAGGGCCGTCATTAAAAACGCCCATGTGAGGGGCCTTGCGTTTTTTGACTTAGATTCGGGACCTCGCGTTTGAAAAAAAAAAAATACGAATTATAATACAATAAAAATTTAAAATATTTAAAATTTCGACCCAGGGCCTCGCAAATCCTAAGGACGGTCCTGATTGGTATACAATTACTTAAGCATAGTTTCTGCAAGTACTTATAATATAATATTGCGATTAAAAATAACGAAATAACGGCACTTCAGGAACAAAAACCATACGAATATTATACGCATAGACACAGTATAGGTATTCCAAAAGAATTTATCGATTCAGAGCAGCGTCTTATTTTTAGAATTTCCATAAATATCATCCGCCGCTCTAAAAATATATTAAATCGTTTTTTAGGACCTATACTGTATTATAGTATATATTTTACATGACATTATTATTATATTATATTATTCACTATCGTCTTTGAACGACTACGCGATTTATGACTATGGAAAATAACGTACCTACGTGTTTACAACTTATATGTACATTTATTACATCGAAATCGTTCTTTCGTACAATCGTTTGAACGCTACGCCATAATACAATAATATATCGTATAATATTTAAATAATTATTTACCTGTATCTAGTTTTTTTTTTTTTATATATATATATATATATAGCTCGCGAAAAACGTTAGTCTACGATCTCTATAATTCGAATTACTTATTCTAATTGACAAAACCTAAAATAGGCACGAGACTAATTAATTTACCCACAGTAAAAGATCTTACGAGTGTATAATGTTATAATATTTTATACGAGTTTAAATAAATCGAGACACGCGAACGTCCGTTTGTACAACGACATCTTTCACGGTAACAATATATAGGACGGACCGGGCAATATTATCATAATTTTTTTTTTTTTTTTTACCATGTGGCGCCATACAGAAGCCACTTATTACAGAATAATTTTATAACGAAAATGAACGATAAATCACATTTTACGCTAATATAATTACAGTATTAAATTATATCATTATTAATGCGGCCGAACGGACGCTGTTCGGAAGGGACGTTCCCGAACTGATCGAAATGGTTTACGCTTAATATTATTTTCATTATTATCAAACGACTACAGTAATACAATCAATATATTGTTATGTACAGAGAAATTAGAAATTAAAGAATATTCTATCGTTTTGGGAAGACTCGTTGTTGTCTGCTGCTGGCCGTGGCTGCAGGCTGCGTTGCTCCTCCTCCGACTGATCAGCAGACTGGTCAAAAGACAGTAGCGATATTTCCACGGAGTCGGCGGAGGATAATGACAATCACAGAGATCTCGAGTCGAACACTTGTAATGATTTCGTGATCGCCTCGTCCTGTCGACATTCATTCAATCAATCAATCAATCGATTATCAAACGAATTGTGCATTCGATGTAAAATAATTGTACAACAAAATATTATATTGTTCACAATCTATTATAATATCATTACCTTCAAACACGATTCAATGAACTCTTCAAACGTAATCACGCCATCTTGGTTGATGTCGAGTTTTTGAAAAACCATATCGGTTTGATCTTTGGATTTGGTACTTCCACGACCCTATTGAACATCAAATACAATTAATAATGTACCAACAAATATAATTATGTGACCTTAAAATGCAACACGTGTACAGTACTTTATATTATTATTACAAATATTTAAAATTAAAAAATATATATATAATGAAATATACCTAATGATTTAAACTATGATTTTATTATTAATTGTTTTTTTTTTTTTTTTTGTAATAATAAAACGTGTATCCAACAAACAATATTATTTAATTAAATATAATTACGATTTTTAAATAATATCAAATGCAAACAATAACTTTTTAATAGGTACGTGGTAAATTTAAATAGAAGTAGCTGAATATCATTAATCACTCAAATCAGTTCTAAAACAAATAATTAATTGAAGTGTTCAATTTAAAGTAGTTGAGAAACTTGAAAATCGGATACTCTCGGTAAGAATAAGAAAAATCAGTCAATTGGTTTTAAGTGGGAAAACTTTATTTTTTTTTTTTTTTTTTTTAATAAATTTGAGACTTAAGAAATATTCGTTCGGACATATATAACTAATCTGCTCATAAAAAACGAAACGAAATAATTAATAAAATACAAAACAAAAACCTCCGGGTATACAATCTATATGTTGTTGGCTTTCTTGATGCTTTTCTAAATTGAAGGGAAGTTTATAAAGTATGTAAGTAAAATGTACTATCATTATTTATTTTAGAGGACGTTATGTACAAAATTTTGAATAAAATTTTAAACAGAATTTCGTTAAACGTATACAAATATATTTCTTTTATTTTGCTATGCTCAAAGTATATACAAAATCAATATAGTAGAAATAAAAATGCAACCCAAGTATAGGAGTGCTGTTAAGATTTCTCAAGAGACTAATTTATTTTGAACATATAGTTTGTAGAGTTAAAATGTACAAACACAACTATGTATCTCATTTTAAAATGATATATATACGCGTTAACTACACCCAAAAAGTTTTGTAGCTAAAGTGATCTGATATCTTGCCAACAACATAATAAATGGCTGTGTCAACGACTAAACCAAATTTAAGGACATCCAAATGCTCTTCGATAAGTAACACATTTTCGGTTTCATTCTGATTCAATACTCTATAAACGTTTTAACAATAGGACACTAAAAACACAATTCCATACATTACCATACTGCAGTTCCTCAAATATTTATAACAGTTTGGATAAACATTTATTTTGTTATCTACTTGTTTACCTACCATAGTACGCATAGACACAAATAGTTGAAAAATATTTATTTTCGGAGGGAAGGTTAGGCCAATACAATACAATTGGTTGATTTATTTTTCTATGTTTGACTACTTAGTATTTACTTAATTCTTATTAAAGACTTGATTAGGGTGATCTTGACAGAAATTTCGAGTGGCTAAATCCCATCCAAGTACTCGATATTTACGTCAATAAAAATGTAATTAAATAATTAAATTGGCACTTTTTTATCGTTTCGAGATTAATAATAAAAACTGTAATATACAAAAATTATTTTTGACTAAATTGTTTAGTTTTAAATAAACGAGTATAAACAAAACATTCTAATAAAAAAATTAAAAAATGTCTATTGTTGGAACTAATCAATCAAATATTGTCAATGTTCAAAAAAGAAGAACTTAAAAAATATTAAATTTAGTATTCATAAAAAAAAAAAAAGAAAAAAAAGGTTCTTGACTTAAAAATTATTTTAACGTTATTAGTTTTAAGTTTGATAAACCTCTCGGTTCACAACTTTTAAATTAAATTAAATACAACATCTTTGAAACCGTCTCTTTTCGAACCGACCGACTGCGAAAGTCTGCTATATTATTATAATATTATTAATATTACTATTATTTTTTTTTTCTCAAACATTTGATTCTTGCATTATGAATAATATCGCAACACATCATGCCGATATTATTGTGTACAGTGCATACGGTTCTCGCCTTTAACGAAAAAACCTATGTCGCTTAAATCGGAATTTAGATAATATTTTGTCAGCGCTCGGTGCCAAGTTTCTTCGCTCGGTCGGTTATACCCGGGGACCCGTAAAACATCCATTATAATATGATAATGCACAGGGACGTCTTTATGTGGATACGGGCGATAAGAGTGATCGCCCCTATCACCCCCGAGAGAAGTGGACTTACATTATCATTTGGCATAGTCATTGGTCCAGAAGTAGGTATAGTCAATGTATAATTTGACGTAGTTTTTTTTTCTTACCAATTTAGATCTTTATTGATATCTTAAACATTTATTCATGGCACAAATATAGATATGACCATAACGTCTATAACCGTGGTTTGTGGTCATATATAAACTAGGTTGTGCTTATATCAGAGTCCATAATCGGCGCACTCCTTGAGATAACAATTATTAAGAATGACACGATTCACAATGTATTGACGAATAATAAACGAGAACAAACGGAAAAACAGCGGTTCGATTACATCACGATCAAAAACGATTATTTAACGATTTTATACTGTAAGCAATTTAAAAATATAAATGTATGTACTATACTGGATGATGTATTATACATGTTCACCCCATTTTTAAGGACAAATAAAGCACATATTCACTTTTTGATGTTTGGAATTTCGAATGCAAATATTTTTTGAGAGGGCGGGTTTTAAATTATAAAAGATGAAATATATCCGAATATTATGAATTTAATATTAAATTTTTTAATTATCTAGCCTTCCCCCCATAGCCAAGGTCTGGAGGCACCCCTAATAACGCAAATACGTGTTCGGTGGTGTATGCGCGAGTGTGTATTATACAAAGTTAGGTAGTGATAATATTCGATAACGACAATATTATAGTATGCAGGTGTAATGCGAACACGGTTCGAAAACAATAATATTATATTGTTCTTACTTGCGGTCTCTTGCCCATCAACTCGTGGATGGCCAACACGATTTGACCGAGCTCGGACCTCGTTATGCACCCGTCGCCGTTCAGATCGTACAGCTTAAACGTCCACCGGAGCTTCTCGTAAATGGACCCGCGGAGCAGAGTGGACAGAGTCATCAGCATGTCCTGCAATATAGTGAATCGATAATTGAATTTACTATACGATGGCACAAAAGTCGGACGAATTATTGGAGGTACGCCGGACCGGGTAAATGGTCGGTCCGCAGAATAAACCGTCTTTGTGTATAATAAAAAAATGAGTTTAAAGCGCTCGGTTGTTATTATTGCACGAGAAGTTTAGGTTTTTTTTTTTTTTTTCAGTAAATCGCATTTTATATAAGTTTCAATTTATTTCGTTTTATACAGATGAAAAAAATAATAAAATACGCTTACATTATACTAGCTGCTATTGTATATATATATATATATATATATATATCTGTAAAGTTTCACACCGGGAATTTTGAGAGCTCATCATCTCACCCGCGATCGATAGTTTTAACGCTTTTGAACGCCGAGAAAAGGAAAAGCCGCGGGAAGAGAGAGATAGAAAGAGGCTTAACTCTCAACAGCTATAATATTGGAATTGCTTAACGCAAGAAAATGAATGGCGTCTTGAAACATTCAGAACACAATGAAATCCTAAACAAAAAAAAAGAATCAGACCGTTCGGCATTTTTGTACATCCTCGTGCCGCCATCAAAAGAACGTCGATTTATTATAATATTTACGCTCCAGTAAATCACAAACGGTATTTTGTATTTCAATGATTTGCGCTTATACTATTACAATGCACGACTACAGACTAAACAAACCGAAAGTTTCTGAACAAATTTACCGTGTACAAACGTATTTTTATAATTATTTAGCGAATGTTCAAAAGGAATAAATATACAAATCGTCAACAGCTGGTTAGTTCGGTGAAAAATATACCTATAATAATTCGGTGATTTCAGATAAAATAAGACTCGAACATGTTTTTACATTATTTCTTTTGGAACTTAACGATATCGTATATTTAGTACCGTCGTCGAGTACAATACATTTCACACAAAAATGCATACGGTTATACCGAGTGCAAAATATAAAATGTTTATAACCTCTCAAACTCCATCTAAACAAATTTCATCTCAACGTAATAAACAATAAACATGATGCAAATTATTAACGATAGAATATATATTACGGATATGATAGTTTAAATCATATGATATTTATCGGAAGAGATGAATTCTGTTTAATTTATTTCTTTTATACATAAAATATATTTTATTCAACTTTATCGTAAACACGAACCGATATCTCTACTGACATTAATGTTTACTTTTGTATTGAATTTCAATTTATTTTCTGTACTGTGTGTGAATTCAGAATATCCGAAATATTCACATTGTTACGATTTGTTTAGTACACACGCTTACTTGACTTAAACAAATCATTTCGATTGCGTTCATAAAGTAACAAATACATAATGCGTTTTAATGTTATATTTAGGTAATTATAGTTTTTACTTTCAAAAATAATGTTGTTACTTAAACTACAAAAAAAAAAAAAGTACTTGTGTTATAATTATACATACGTACTGTAAATACAATAAAAATCTATAATTTCTAATGTGTTAAGTTTAAATTTTAAATTTATTCTTACTTCCAACGTATCGAACGTTTTTATTAAGGGTCCTGTTCGTGGTCTGTTTTAAATTATTAATAATTGTTAATAGCAAACCATTAATAGTTTCTGTTTGAATTATATTAAGAGGAACGCACACAATCTGTTTTTTCACATGAAAAAAAATGTTCATGTCTCGTACAATGATTGAATCTAGAACAATTTTTCTGTTGGAAAAAAAGCTTTCTACAAAACGTATTATATTATTATATTATATGTATTATATGTATTTATGTATTATATTATATTTTCGAAAAACCACAAAAAAATTAGTTTAAAAAATAGTAAACATTGATCATGTTAAAATTCTAATTAAAACGTTCAGAAATATTATTTTCAAAATCCAAGTCCCATATCCCATGTAAGAAGTTTTGTTCTTTCTAACCAAAAAAAACAAAAAAAAAAGATTATCGAAATGGATTCACTCAATAACTTTAGAGAGTTTTTCCTCTAATAAGTGTCTTTTGAGCAAAATCAGGTCACGCGCAAGCCTCTTATAATATAATAAATTTTTAATAAAAAAAAAATATAAAATACGCTCAAAAAAATATACATAATTATATTAGGTACATATTATATTATTATAGAAGGTTTAAAATGGCTTCTACATGCAAGGATCATAATATATAAAACACTTTTAAGATTTCTAAATTTCTCAATATTCTAATGATAATACGATTATTCTGCATGGAACATTATTAATGCATCAAATTGTAACAACTGCAATCGCGTAGATTAGCAGTTCGCACTAAGTACAAAATACAAAACTTACTTTAAAACTAATTGCGCCGTTACTCTTGACATCGAATGCTTTGAACACAAAATGAGCATATAAATTTGAATCTGTAATAAATAAATATAAACGTAAATAAGAATGTATAAAATGCCTTAATAGAAACGAAAAATTTAATTTGGAAATATAATGAATATCGGAATACAAGATAATTTAAAAATTCGATTTTTTGTAATGAAATGTTTTGTTGCCAATTCAAACCCTTTTTTGGGAAGAGGGTAAGAACAGTGAACATACCCAAAGCGTTTCGTATAAATACGTCTATATATCGGTACCTGCAGTAAAACTGGGCAATAACTAGTTACAAAGTTACAAAAATCAGTAACTTTTTAACTTGTAATTTACTTATAGTTTTCTTATAACTTGTAATTTAACAAATTACTTTTTGTGCATATATAAGAGTAATTTTATGAGTTACTTTTTATTTGAACCAAAAAATATACAAGCTAGTTTTCATAATTTTGTCACCAATATATTGTAACTCAGATTTGTTTTCCTGAGGATGTGCCTAGCATGATGGATAAAAGAAAAATATATATATTTTTACCAAGATGAAAACATCTTAACTTTTACATAATAAATATATTCGTGAAGGTTATCTTATCTATTCCTCTGATGTGATACATCCATCCTTGATGATCTATCCTTAATCTGATGTGAATTACCCATACAATAAAGGCCAATTAAAAAAAGTTTAAATAGTAACTTTAACTTTTACATTTTTGATTAATAACTATTAAAATAACTGGTTTTTTATTTAGAAACTTGTAACTTAACTAAGTTAATTAATTAAGAAAAGTAGCTGTAACTTTCTCAGTGACTAAAGTTAGATAACTTGCCCAGCTTTGACCTGTAGGTAATTGAACAAAAATCAGAAAGACTATTCTTCAAGTTGCCTTGTTCATCATTTTATGTACAATAAATTACCTAACTACGTTAATCTAACGAAACTGAAAAAACGAGTACAGCAGTCGAATTTTAATGCTGACCTAACGCTCAATAATTGCTCTTCAAATTCAATAACCATCGCGTTTAAATGTGAAACATTAATGCACTGGTGTCTCTTGTCAAATAAATATAAGCAAACCGTCAAAAATTGAAATTATACACGTTCTGCATTGAGGAAATTTAATTTAAATGCACAATAAGTGATTATTAACACGTAAACTACGGGAACTTTTAAAATATCAGTTTTAATATTATAGAAATATAGAAATAAAAATTAAGTCTATAACAAAATGACGTAAGAAGATATTAATGGTGTATCGGAAAAAAAAGGGGGAAACTGTGCAGAATTGTGATAATATAAATAATTATTTAAAATAATATTTATAAAAATTGAATAATAGTTGTACATACTTCCGTGTGGGAAAAACTTGGAATAGATATCTTTGAACAAATCTTCTTGTACGACACCTTCCGGGCATTTCTGAAATATAAATCGTATAAATTATTAAATTAGGTATTTTCATATTTTGATATTAGTTATTGTCAAGATGTTCTAATTATTATTTTAAAATAAATGAAGTATATACTCATAGTTAATACTATTCGGGTCCAATGTGTAAACCTACAATGCGTTTTCAGCAGCTCATTAAAATTTGAAAAAAAAAATAAAATTTTTAAAGAAAACTGGTTTTGTTAAAATATGTCAACGCTAGACATTTTATTTTAAACTATATGTATTATTGTAGTCGCAGAGATGGAATTTTCTTTTCAGCTCTAAACAAATTAATATCGCACAGTACACACCTGTTAATAATAATTAAAAGTTTAGAACATTATGTAAGTGCTCTTGAAAGCCAAAAGCCTTTAGGTATAATCTAGATTTTAAATCATAATATTTTCTTCTCCGGATACTTTATAATTTATGATATTATTATAGCCCCTTTGTTTACACAAAATCGTAAACATTTTTAACTTTACAAAGTTACGGTCGAACAGTTAAAATGTTAAAAACATTGTAAATTAAACTTTACAATAATAGCAACAAGTATTAGTACAGTTTTCAATTGAGTACGCTCATCTTTATGTGAAATGTATAAAAACAAAATGCATTTGTTCTTTGAACAATAAAAGTAAAACAGTTTTTAAGATCACCGCGAGTAATTATAATTTCAGTGTTCAAACTATATTCGAAACTTCATACATATTTTGTGAATGGTTTTAGTTATTGTAGAATCACAAAGACGCATATAATTCCGTTGCCAAGAACTTTTTAGTCTAGACAATTGATTAAAAAAAAAATTAACAGGACCACGCGCTATAACAAATGAATTTAATAATTCATTGCTGGATAGCGTCCAAATACCCAAAAGTACAATGACAATCATCACGTTCATAATTATAATAATTGTACCCTTGTTCGACCAAGGGTAAAATAATGAATAAATTAGCTTACAATTTTGAATTTGAAGAACATTTCGACCATCATTTATAATATCAAATTTAATTAATACGCGAATTCTTTGTCTGTTGACTAAAAATATTTATACCTCCATTCATTCGCAATAATTAACGATCATAATCGCATTGTCCTGAATTCCCGTCATCTCCACAAAACCTTTCGATTTTTCTCGTATTGTGGTATAATAGTGGGTATTCAAGTAAGTAGCTCGATATTTTACATTGTCCATACTCACTGTTTAAGGTGACCTTTATAAATAAATTGGTTAACCTTGGTTCGTCTAATTTATTGTGTTTTTATTGTCCAGGACAGATCATGACTGGAGGTGGGGGGGGGGATTCCGTTTATCGTCTCGATGACATCATATTGTCAAAAAATTGTCTGTGACTCTTTTCTGGTATTTTTTCGTCTTATCAGAGACAGTTATTTTTTTGGTACTTTCAGTGACTTTTATAAAGAATCTTCCAGCTATAATAAGGCTTTCACTTGGAGGCAGAATAAAAACCTTCAAGTTTTATCCATGAAAATAAAGAGATCTTAGAAAACGCGAAAAATTACATATTAATACTCGTTAGGCAATTGTAACAAACACGGATAGTGAAAAAATGTCTATCCCAAGACTATAACAAATAATTGTGTCATAATATACTCGTAATATTGAAAAGGCTAGAACCAGAAAAAGAAAACCTACTATCAGAACAACGTTAGTGAATATGTATATGTATAAATGTATATTAATTATAATTATTATTATACGCATTTACAGAATTGAAACAATCATTGTATAATGTGTATTATGTTGAAATAGGCAAAATATTTTATTTAGTAATTTGTATTACCTAATTCCCCCCTCCCTTTCTCCTTGATTTTTTTTTAAGTTCTAAATTTCTATTGAATTTGTATCTTAATTTTGATCATATTTTATTTTAAAGTGAAACATTTATTTGAAAAGTGTAATGTAATATGATACATACAGATAGGCTAAATATTGATCGAGAAGTTTATTATTTATAATCATTTAAAAGGATATTCAAAGTTTAAATAAGAAGTCCGGAGAGAGAGAGAGAGAATGGAAAATAATAATTGTATACCCAGCTACACAATATATACGTCTCCTCATTTTGTCTGTACTACAAATTCCTAAACACAATAAACGGGTCAGGTTATTATGTTATAAATAGTGAAAAACTAATAACTATCAAGTTTGCGAGATTTGTAACACTCGTATAATGTCGATGAAAATTTTTCGAAAAAAAAAATAATATTTTAACATAAACAGATTAAAACAACGAAAGCAAAAGTTATTATTTGAAAAAAAATAAATTATAATATATGTATACGAAAATCTGAGATAAAACAGCGAACCCATATCGAGTTGCTTCTATAATACGGTATTCGTAAAATATTATCAATGATTATACAGTTATTTACGAGTTATGATTGTTCAAAGTCGATTATCCGGGTCGTGTAAAAAATTGAAAAATTGAAAAAACTAGTTTGCACATGAAATCCGGTATACTCTGTTACATTATAAACACGTTACAAGTAACACATACTAGTAGGTATATAGCATCGTTAAACTCAGTGCCCAGGTAGCATTAACTTCATCAACAAGTCGAAAATGATAAAGATCACGGACGCTATTACAAGTACTTGCCCGTCTTATTGGCATCCTGCCCTCGGAAAATGAAATTCAAACTGAAACCCGCGAACGGTAATTTTGTACGACACGTATGTACCACAATTGCCTGTCAAAAACGCCGTATCACCTAACTATTAACAATCACGGTTTCGACTTGACGTCTGATTAATTAAAATCGCCGATAAAACAACACATAGACGTTACGTAAACCGAGTGCGCGATATTATTATAATTGAACGTTATTTTATCAGTGCGTCGAATTAATTATATTAAGTGAACAATATCAATTATTATTTCACTCGCTGAATACAACTCAATAATCTAATATAGAACAGTGCACTTACGCGGTATTCCGTTACATGAATATTCTAATGAAATTTCCAGTATCACGACTGAAAAAAAAAAATAATAATAATAAATGTACCATACCCGTAGTACAACCGTCACTTAGTAATTCGTATAATTACAGTAATACATTTGTACGCAAATATTTCACGGTTTCGCAATACGTAATATATTATACTAATTACCAAAACGTTTTTAAAACAATTTTAACGTTATCAACGTTGTACCTTTCCGGTATACATACTTATCGGTTTTAATTAATGAAATAAAATGTTTTAAAAAAAACCGTGTACTGTATTTTTGTTTTTTTTTTTTTTTTTTTTTTTTGTTTTTCAACATTCGTGGTTTTAATTAGCAAAAGCAAATAATATTATATGTGTCAGTGGTTGTCAAAATTGTTTGATTCGAATCATCCTTGTCTACGATAATTACACAACTGCGTCGCCCTACCATCAAAATAAGCATTATGCATTGGAATTCTATATAGACATACAATTAGATTTTGGAATAAAAACTATATTTAGTAGAAACGTGGCTGTGTTCCCTTAATCCAAATTTGCACACCGTACGGAGATATTTTCCGGAAAGACAAATAGTTTGTGTCGATGAGAGTTAGAACATTTTCTGATGGTTTTGCAAAACCCATAACTAAATACCCAATAGTCTTCCAAAATGATAATTTCGTATCACCCCTAAATTGATGTGTAAAGTGAAAGTGGTACTCATGTGAGTCCACATCATCAGTAATATACGTATATCGTATTCATGTATACGATAAAAAAATAAACTAAAATAAAACAGGAACAAATAAGTTAAAAAATGTAAGCCTGGTATAGAATACCGTAAAAAAATATACAGATGCACTGTAAACTTCCTATTTTTGGACCAACAATTTTTCAGAGATTTCAAGTAAAAATAAAATCAGTATTTTATAGACGTTGAGCAATGATTTGAATTTTGACCTATACATGTGTGTTACATTTTAATATTTTCTTCTACTTTTATTAAGCCGATTTCTTAACTATAACAACTTATCAGTAAAATAATATTATAACCTTTTGATTTTAAAATAATAATATTTGTTTTAACGCCACCAAAAAAAAAAGATACTAAAGGTTTTGAAAATTTTAAAATTTATAAAATTATATGAAAAAACATAAAATTAAACTGACAAAATAGTTGTTTGATCGTTCTCATGTACACTTTTCAGTGAATTAAAATCTCTTTTCAAAATTCTCAACGCACCGGAATATCGATCGGGCCAACTTTCGGAGTATGACGTGTTAAACAAAAAAAAAAATATCGGTCGTTTTTTTTAAACTGTCGAACTTAACTAGCTAGTTGTTTCTAACTAGTTTTTCAACTCAACCGATTTTCCCAATAATTATTGGATTAAATTCTATTTAGGTACTTTGATATTATAGGTGAATATATTGTTCGTTGTGGTCGGTTTTCGGAACACATCAATCCAATGTGGATGAAACAACGATATTGATATTCCTGTAAAAAGGGCACGTGCTCGGTTATTGTAACGCATTAATTTACGTTAACATTGATCGTATTAATGGCTCAATGACAGTCAACACAATCAATTATCGCACTTCATCAATGTAGACGTATCGGTGTTATTTAGCGTACCCGAAAACGTCAATAATACTCGATAGATAGATATATAGGTATTGCGCCCGGGGATACAACATTATTTTTCCACGCCACCGCCGTACTTTTCTTGTCACGTCCTATTATTATATATTTTTTAAACTCCTAAAATATTCATTGACTATCGAAAAACGTGGTAACGCGAAAAATATCCTCTTCTTAACAAAATCTCTCTTACGTGTATAGGTGTATCACGGGTACTATATATACTCTATAGAATACATGTTATGGGTTAACCGCGTGTTATAAAAATTAATAAAGTTTAGAATATTTATTCGGGGTCAGCTGTGGATACGAAACGGGGACCACGGTTGCTGAAGCCTTTTTCCTTATATTGTCCGCGTGTACTTTATAAATTGAACTTATACATGCATTTTATTGGTTATAGAACACGTATTAAAAATACAATTTTTAACGCATATGAAAAGTGAATTTTTTTTTAGACCCCGCCTTTATAGTATTCTCAGATCCTTTTTCCTCGAACAGAGACGGTCCTGTTCAAGTTATGCAATGAGTAATATAATATAAAATAACTATTATTAGGTAAAATTTTAGAAAACGTTAAAATCTCAATGTTCAAACACAAAATATGTACCTGCAGGTTTTATCGTTGTAAATAGTTTTTTTTCCCCATTTAAATATTATTATCAAGTGCACTGTTCAACAAGTTCAATTAATGTTTATTCACTATTTATATGTACCTTTAACTAACTCTAACCGTTACATAAAATAAAACTTCGTCCCTACAATTTAATTCATCGACTTTATACTTATTATTATAAACAACACAAATTCCCAATTATAATAATTCGCAGCATTTATACGAGACTGCCACAACTCGACAATGTTGTGGTTTTAATGATTTTTGAGTTGAGTCTCCAGATCGATATTTTTATTTAAAAAATACTAATCTGCAAAATGGATACGTCGCGCGTCGTAACCCGACCAACGCCTCTAGAATACATATGTATAAATATTTATCGCAGCACCGTTGAACTTATTCATTTTTCGGGATTAAAAAAATAATAATATTGTCAAGTTTTGACGCGTGGGTTTGTTACGTAGTTTTATGTTTTCTTTGTAATTAAACTTAAGAATTGAAAGATTGCTTAATTTTAATTTGAGGTATTTTTACCTGATCTGGATTTAAGGGGAGAGGGCTAGGAAGCTATAATTCCGGGTTGCAAAACGAAAGGGCTACAATGATTGGTCTGTTTTTTTTTTTTATTATTCTGAGTATAGCGAAGATGCTGTTGGTTTAATTAAGATATATGTTTTTTATTTCATCGGAAAATACTTTTTCAGTGAATAAAAATGTCTGGATTTTTTCTTGACATACTTTAAAATATTCAAATTTGTTTTCCTGATGACATTTTATTTAAAACATTTATTGACATTTTCAGAAATTCTGAAACTACAAATACCTCGTATTGATTTAAATATTATGCTGATATGCATAATTGCTGCTGTCAATTCTTAAAAGAGTGTACAATTAATACAAATTAATAAATCAAAAATTTAAAGAAAAAATAAATGTGGTTAAAAGGATATCCACAAGGTTATAATATACCCCCTACCCTCTATGTACATAATTATAATAATTCTGAACTAGATGAGTATGACACTAGTGAAAAGAATAATTATTACTGCTATATTTTGTCAGTTTTATTTTTTCAAATATCAATTTTTGCTAAACTACGATAATTTGTGAAGTCTGGTTTAGATTTAAGCTGATTCAGCTAAACAGCTTTAGAGAATATTAATATTTTTCAAGTTTTAAAATTAATTCTTAAAAACTAGCTACTGAGCAAACACAATTTTAGAATTACATTCTTTCGAAACTATGTTTTTTGATTTGTGGTGATCTACTGCTGTACCAAAGGAATGAATTTATGTATATTGAAAATGTTAACACTAAATATTTTTTTAACGATAGATTATATTATAATTTCATCAGTTTTACACTAAAAGTTATAACACGTTTTTATAATGTGTTTTAATATTATAAAACTATTTATGTTTTAAAATAATATACTATATAGTGGAACGTCGCAAGGTGAAGAAATTTAAATAAACGACCCTAATAAATTATACACGGTTACAAAACTTCTAGTCTATTCGGTTAATTTAGGTTAGCCACATAAATTTGTTATTATGCATAGTAACAATAATAATAATAATAATAGTATAACCATTACGGCACTTAAATATAATCACCAAACCCACTAACCCAGTAAATTTCAAAAATCCATTATTACATTATCATTAACATACGTCCAGTAATTAAATAATGTAGCAATAATATAAAGTCACGATAATTTACATATTATCTAAAAGTAATAATGACAAAATTAAATGTAAATGTGATGGTGTACCCATCATATGTTTATAATTAGGACCATGAATTTAACGCGCTAAAAACTTTTAAAAAAAAAAAAAACATTTAATTTCGAAAAAGGAATTGCAGCTTAAAAAAACACTCTTGAGCAGCATATGTATTGCATTAGTGTCAAGGATGTGCTTTTGAGGTTAACAACTTTCAACTTCTACCCCAACTATTTAATAAATATGCAAATTTCAACATTAGTTTTGAATAGTATACATATTTCAGTATGTTAATACACTATATTGCAATGTTATAGAATTCGGTTATTTATTGTTTTACATAAAATATCTCTCTACGAAATAGGCGAGAAAATGAGAGAAAATTTAACTCTATAGTAACGGAGCTATGCTGCTCACGGGAGTTTTTTTTACGTTGCAATTAGTTTTTTGGAAATTAAAATGCGTATTCAAAAGTGTTTTTAGTGCATTACACAGCCCTACTTAAAATACAATTTATTATGTATCATGGTAGGTATATTTATATTAAACGTTAATCTACGTGTATAGGTAATCTACCTACCGCCGACATTAGTATATCATTCGCATTTTGTATATACATTATTACCGTCGGTACCGAAACCACAAATTCATAATAATATTTTAATCGTAAAATAAATAATCAGGGTACGGTGTAAATTTAATCTATTTGCGATATGGATGTTATATATTTACGAAAAATATATACTTGTTAATCTTATTTATTTTCAAATGAAGGAATGGGATCGTTTGACGGATAGGTATGACAGGGGAATGTTGTCGTTTTTAATATTTATAGCGATAAATCATCACACGATATTCGCTGCAATAAAAGATTCTAGTGAATGAAATCGCTTTGGAAGTTTTTTCAATATGTTTGTAATACTTGTCCCTATATGACGCATATAATGCATTTCCCCGCGAGAAAATAACATGTTATAACGAAATTTCGAAGTTTTTATAATCCAAAATATAATAAAAACCACATATGCGATACTGTCAATTTTCATTCAACTAACACGTATACCTATATTCAAAAGATGAACTACGTTTAGGTACTAAGTAGTACTGAAATTATTAAAAGAAAAAATTGAACTCAAATCGATTATAAGATAAATACCTAATACAATAATCTCAAATTTGTTTTTGACCACGAAGTACAACGTATGATAAATCATTTCTTCAATTTTCAATCATTTCCACTCGGCCAAAACAGTATTTTTATCCACAAAAAATAAAATGAAAACTAAACAAATTGCGAAGGCCAACGAAAAACGATTATGAACGGAGTTCAGTTGATAATGTAGTTGCTTTATCAACAATATATATGCCATATAACCATAAAATAATTACATAGGTATTATATATTAACTTTGCTAACATTTGTTTGATATTGTACCTATTTTGCCATTTTTCCCATTTTTACGGTTTTTCTCATTTCTTGGGAAGAATATAACATCTTTAAAGTAACTCCCCAATCTGATTTCCTTTCAGAAAATATACTACACTTAAAAATCAGAGTAAGATTTCTGGTAGAAAATTGTCCACAGATAAAAAAACAATAATAATAAACATCTTTGTAAAACCATAAGCTTCTTCGTTCCACTCGAAATATAAAATTTCGAAATGTAAATGCATATAAATAACTTAAAAATCAACAGAATGTTTTTAAAATAATACAACATCTAAAAAAAGTTAATTTTGTGTAAAATTCAAATCTCTACGATTATTTTAAAACAAAATCAAAAATAAGGCAGATACTGTTGATGGGTGTAACACCCAATGTTTTAAGAGGGATGTTAAAAAGGATTCATAGAGTGATCAATATAACGCAAGACACTCATTGTCTTGGAAAATATTAACATCCTAAATAGTCAAAAAACAAGTTCTTAAAATTAATTAAGTAATGTTCTTCAATATAATAGACAAATTTAATTTATATCTGTAGACAACAATAAACTATTACGACAAAAAACGGTTCTAAACATATAAGCTTGTATTTTAGATTTTTTTCAAATTACGGCGCAACGATCTCATTATTTAAAATATTTACGGGTTGTAATTTATACTATAAATATTGATCCAAAACAAAAATGACAAAAGAAATTTTTTGATGCATTTTTAATCTAGTTGATAAGTGAGGAAGTTGTTTTTTGGTAGTTTTTTTTAATAATTGATAAAAACTGAGAAATTACGAAAAATAAAAACTGTCAAATTTACGGCGTTACGCATTCATTATTTTAAATTTTTACGATTTCCATTTTCCCACCAGAAATAGCTTCAATAAAAAAACACCAAGGTATCTGTATTGTTGAATTTTTAATTTTATTGTTAACTATGAAAGTCGTTTTTCGATTTTCTTTATAGTTTTTTAATTAATTCGGTAAAACTGGAAAATACGTAGAAAAAACGGGAAAATTTACGAAAATAATTGTTTATTATTTTAAATTTTGTTTTTTTAATTTATTTTAGTAAAAAATATTCGTTAAGTCTTGAAATTTCGACAGAAAACTAATATTTTCATTTTCCAAGCATTTTCAAAATATTTGAGTAATTTTTAAGCTATTTATAAATATTTTAATTTTGCGAGTTTTTACGTAAATTTTATTTGGTAGATATGCTGTGGATAAAATTGCTATACTAAACAGAAATGCTGGAAAATTTGACAGAAGGTTCATTTAAAGTAATACTAAGTGGTCAAAAAAAAAATGAGTATAATGTAGTTTTTTTTCATAAGAGTTTTTATATCAAAAGTTGACGAAAATCGTAAATATATACGACCTTTCAATATATATTGTGTAGCCGAACTGCGCTCCAAATTATTTTTCATAAGCAATGGTTCATCGCGTTACCAACGTTACAGATATAAATTAAATAACTTTACGTATCCCACCTTCCCAACTACTCACCTACAATAGTCGCCATACCCAACCCCATGTATCAGCTATTTTTCCCACGTGTTACTAAGATAACCCATAAATTAACAACAATATTATACAAAATATTTTCAGTTTTTCCTAATTAAAAATTTGTTTTCAAAAAAGATACTACTACTTGATACTACTTGATAATCAGTGCGAGATTTGTGATAGAAAAAATATTAACAAACTTGATAATATAATCATGTTACCGCAGTGAGATACGGTTTGGTTTAATTTTAATTTTTAGATTCAGAGCGCAGCGAAAAATGTATTGGTTTTACAATGATGTTTATTATTTTATTTTTTTTTTTTTTTTTGATCTGTGAATAAATTTTCTACCAGCAAGTTTGCTCCAATACACAACGATAGCACTTTTTCTAAAAGGAAAATTTGATTTTCTCAATAAATGGAAAAAAACCGAGAAAAACATGGGAAACCAGGAAAAAAACTAGGAAAAACGGTAAAATAGGTACAATTTTAAACACGTAGGTATTATCATAAAAAATTTTAAATGTAATTATTTTACCATAAAATGACCAGATATTGTTGAATAAAGAAATTCTATCAACCGAAATTCGCTCAGAATCGTTTTTTCGTTAGCAATGGTTTTTCGTTGCATACAGATATATATTAAATTTTCGTCTACATCTTACCTTCCCAACTTCCCATCTACCATAGTGGCTGCACCCGTCCCCATTATCCTAGGACAGCTTTTTTATATTTCTATCTGTTAACGACTATTATAATCAGAAATATTGCTCCGATTTTCAAGTTTATCGTGTTTTCTGAAAACAAATTTTACCAGTATGTCATTTGTCGATATTCCTTGTTGTTTTCTAAATAATTGGCGAAAACCGGAAAAATTCAACGCGAGGTTTCATATCATAAGTATTGTACTTGTCAAGCGTAATAACGTAGTGGTTTTTTTTTTTTATGTTTCTTTTAGTTGTCTTAATATTTGCGCGCTCAATACGTATGCACGGGCAAAACCAGGGTAGTACCGTATATTATTTCATTGTTATTATTATTATTATTATTACTCCGTCATCTGTAAATTGGCGTTGTTCGAGAAAAAAAACAACGGCGGCTATGCGGTGTTTACTTATCCGTTGTCAAATATTTTCCATTTTCAGCCCGTATATATACTCGTATTATACTACGTCGCCCCAGACATATTTTTCTTTGGAAATTTTATCTTTCAATGTTTTTCCCCGGGGTAGTCATTATAGCCGCGTATATACACTTTTCTCTTGTCGCTTTTCTCCGCTCGTGTGTATGTGTGTGTGTATACATATATATGTATTTTCCGTGTCCCGCGGCCCAACGACGGCGTTATATATACACGTGGAAAAGCCGTTATAGAAGTCCCTTCACAACGTACGCCGAATAAAAATTCTTTTTTCCCGTCCACCTCCGCGCGCCGGCATAAACGTAATCTGAGACGGCCGGCAAAATGGCAGGCAGTTTCCGAGCGGAGAAAAAATATCGTTTTTTTTTTTTTTTTTTTTTTTTTTTTTGTTTTTATTTTTATCCGTTAGTTATGCACGGCTACATAATAATATGTGCCGCGTATATTAAGTTTTTTGTTTTCGGCATTATGTTTCCCGTCCCATTTTATAATATCATATCTATTTTTCGGGAGAGAAAAACGAATAAAAAAAAAAAAAAAAAAAAAAAAAAAAAAACCTATAGTATTGAAAAAGCGACGGCCGCGACAGCGAAAATGACGGACGGAAAACCCGTAAACGTTTATTAATTACAGGCAAACGAGCGTCTGCGGACGTCCGGGCGACACAAAACCAATGTTATTATATTTATTTACAAATGCGTCGGCCGTTACGGCCGTTTTCGGAAAATGCGCGTCCACGGTAAATGGCATGTTTCGGTATACACATGGTAAATACTGTGTAGTCAGGTGTCACACACGCGGTTACCACACGGAAGGCGGTTTTCGACATCCGTCACCCATCGTCATGTAATCTGTAGATGTGTACGGATTTTAACCGCCACCGCCCTCTTCGACAATCGACGGCCCTGGATCTTTTTCTCGTATTTTTCTCGCATTCTCTTCGGGTCTTGGTTGTATTCCGTTTGTCCGTCGTTTTTTCGGCCTCCGCCGCGGATCTTCTTCCGTCTGGTTTCCGTTCAGTCGCTGCTCTAATGTCGCAACTTAATTTCATTTCTATACATCCTAAAGTCTTTGTTCTTCGTCGTTTTCCTAATACGCGCACATTTTTTTTTGCCGACCGTTCAACCGTAAATTTTGATAAACTACAGTCCGATAGAGGCTTTCGTTTCGTCTTCTAAACCGATGACACCGGACGATCTGTATGGAAATTAAACTACCCCACTGCTGCTATCGTTTATCGAACGATCAAATACTTAGGCTTCGGTTGTTCCGAGTCCTGATCCTTGCATATATTACGTTATATGTAACGAGTCACTGATAACGATAAAAGTACATTATGGGGGCGTCCGAAAGAAACCCCTCACCCCAGGACGTGACCTAGCTTAATGCACACGGAAGACTATCAACAGAATACGATCGGAAGTAGAAAGGGCGAAAGAAAACATGCACAAACGGAGAATAACTATTGACGCGGACTGCGATGAGTGCGGAAATGTGCAAACGACAGGGCATTTAATGGAATGTCCAATGCTACAAGTAAAAGGAAATGATGGATTTTTAGGAAAACGGCTAAAACACGGCGCAATCAAAACGATTGATTTCCGGGAGAAGAGGGAAATCTGAAATTTAAATACCGCTAACCGACGCACGAAGAAGATTGAGAAGACTAGGGATATTATTGTATTGATGACCGTCGACTTTGCCGTGATTTTTCATACTACGTACATGGAATAACGGGCCGGAGAAAAAAATTATATACGAACGAAAAATCTATTATTATCATTATTATTTTCATTATTATTATTATTATTATTATCTATCCACAGGTGCCACCGTCGCCGCCGCGCGCAAAAATACTAGGAAAATCCAACGAGTCGCTGTCGCCACCACTGTCACCTCCAGCGTTCAACAAACACACACACACACACACCCCAGCGCCACCGGAGTACAAAGGAATACGAGGCGATCGGATCACTCCGCCGCCCCGCCGGGTCCGATTCAATTGGCCGCCCCGGAATCCGTATTATCGCGTTGGTCGCGGGCGTTCGTCGGCCGACGGGGAGCGGCTGACGGTTACGGCGCGTATGATGTCATAACCGACGGGGGCCTTCCGCGGCCGCCTCCCCGCTGCAGCCGCCGGTGCCGACCGTCACCACGACGACGGCCGTGCGGCTTACGCGGCGAAGAGGGTTCGGAAGAGGAAACGCAAGTCCGTGACGTCACCGGAACTCATCGATTGCGTTGTTGTGCGTGTTACCCCGTGTATATATATATATATATAAGTGTACGTATACGAATGTGTATACGCGCGCGCGCGCGTGTGTGTGTGTGTGTGTGTGTGTGCTCCTGCTACTGCTTTTCCCGCGCTACACGTTGCAATATACGCGCGCGGCGTACTCGGTCCGGACTGGCGGCGGCGCGGCGACGGCGCGTCGTCCGGAGCTCGGGCCTGGCTCACACTGTCGGCGGCGGCGTCCTCGGCCACCCGCCGCCGCCGTCCGCGCGCGAAAAGCTCCGAGCAACGCACTCTCCGACGACGACGTCACGGACCTAGACTCTTATACACACCGGCCCGTCCGTATTTTATGCACGTGAGTCACGTTACTATCTCGTTTTTCAGCGTCCGGCAAGCGCGGAGTAGGAGGTACACACACACACACACACACACACCCACGTATATCGCGACGGCCGACCGTTTTCCCGTCCCCGTCTCCGAGTATAATATCAGGGAGCATTGCCTCTTCCGAGCACGTACCAGAACAACCCTTCTCCCCCCCCACGAAAAAAAAAGATCGATCATTTCATTTTTCGTTTCACGGGATGTTTCCGAGACGGTCGGCCGGAACAAGGAAACCGTAGCCGGGTACTCAGAGACTCGACGGGGTGTCCGAATTTTCGGGAGTTTTTTTTTACACCTCCGAAACCCGAGCTTTCACGACTTATGTTTATCCCGAACGTTAACAACTGAACACTCAAATTGTATTTCCCGTTGTATTCTTACACGAATCGATATGCGACACAGTTGTGTTTTGTTTGATTTTTTTTTTTTTATCTTTTTACACCCTGTCGCGTGTTTTTGACGTTGGTATCGCCCAAATAAATAGATATCGGTAGATACGATTAATCGATTGATTGTACGAGCACTCTGTGAGAAAAACCGCGGTGCAATTATTATAAGTCGTCATTTGATGTACCTGATTAATTTACACAATTTTTACATACCTATACTGATAATAACCAAAACCAATTAAGAGGCTTATACGCGTAATATAATAACAAATATATTCCGAATTCGACAATATTACGACTTTCCGGTCGAGTTTAGGGCAACGAGACCTATTATACATTGTATAAATAAGAGGGTATTGTTTTTAGTCTTATCTTTTTTCTTAATAAGTTATTAAAGGTTGAAATCCAGAGAAATCGTGTTAAATTTAAACATGGTATATTTTTCACGGTAAAAGTATATTAAAAAACCAATTCGACCAAGATACAGCAAATATCTTTTTCTTTGTAAGATATATAATATATGGCCTTTGCCATAAACTCAACTGTAGAATCGCAATCGTTAAAGTGTGACATGTATTAGCTGCTATATATTACGCGCGAGACAGACAGGGAAAACAAATTATGTCCGTAGAGAGACCCTTAATACACTCTGTTTAAAAATGAATTGTATTTCACAAAAACTTTTCTGAAACACCCTGTATAAATATTATTCTTATTATCTATCATTATTCAGCACGTATTCGGGTCAATCACACGAGGGATAGAAGGGCTAAGACACGGATGAAAATGTTTGTAAGAGTGCCATAGGTGAAAATTGGAGAGGCTAAGAATACCTAGCCCACTAAAACTATCAAAATTTCCTCTGAAAATATATATTTTATATAATAATCCAGCATTACGATTACTGAATTGTAATGCTGTCGGAGCCAATTTCCGAAATCGTCTCCAATAAATTGTGTAACCTAAAAGATAAGACTTTTTTCATTACTGCTTGAAAATTACTTCGCACAAAAAACTCCACGCTTCGCAATACGTTTCAATTTCAATACTACTTTTTTTTCATTATTTCAAAGAAAAATTGTACACGTCACTTTGAACTCCGAAATGACATCCTCTTTAAAAAAAAAAAATTAAAGGCATGAACATTTTTCCCGCGAAGTAAGTTTTGTTAAAAATCATGTTATACGGCCCCAGATATTTCAGCCCTCCCCCCCCTCAAAAAAAAAAAAGTTTTAAATATCCACTTATACTTAAGACATGAAACATTTATTGGTCACCAAATTATTTTCCTTGAAATTATAACTAATGATTGCAAGCTTTAGATATAATATTGTGAAATATGGAACTATCATGCGACACAAAATGGTGGGATCGTAACTTTCATCCCCTCCTCAGAGACGTGCCTAAAATTATTAAAATTAATGGCTGGTAAAGCCATCGTGTACGGTAACCTATCACGCCTATACATATTGTTTTACACACAAACATATTTGGCGTGGTGGACTCAAATTCGAAACACCCGGCGAAATCGCTCGATAATCGAAACCATGTCCTGTCCATGTTCATCGAATACATAACAACACACTTAGTGTTTACACGCCAAAACGTATGTCGTATATTAATATGATATACGTACAACGGAGGTATACGTATATCCTTCCCCATCCCCCACTTTGACAATCCCTCACCGAAAATGTTGAACACGTATGTTGAATTCGATCTCGGATATTCGACATTTTGTCAACGGACAATCCGTTATTTAAATATTATTCAGTTTTTAGATTGAGAAACCACTTAAAAATGATAATAATTTATTGTCGTTGAAATATACGTATAGCTGTATACGTATTGTTCAAATCAGTGACAAATTAGTTAGTTTAGAAGTTTTATTTTATTTTTTACTAAAATAATAGCTTTTGGGAATGCTTATGCTCGATGGAAAATCCAAATGAAAACATTATATCCGATGAATTTTAAAAATTATAATTTATTAAGTCATTTAAAATTCTGAACTAAACAAAATATGTATTGGGTTTACTATACATTTTTTTTTTATTTTGTGTCTGTAAACAACTTTTCTACTAGTGATGGACATATTCGAGTGAAAATAATCCAGGTATTTCGATTCTTAAAATAATAATCGATTTTGTAACCGAGGGATTTTTCACTGGAATTATAGTAACTCGGCTACTCAAAGGTACCTTATTCGGAACATTATCATTATAGTTTATAATCCAAAGCCCAAAAATTCAATGAACGTAAATAATATAGGTACAACTAGGAGGGTGCTAGAAGGTCTTTAGTACCCCCGAGTTTAAAACTATTATTCTCAAAAATACCCAATAAGTCTTTCTATATAATATCGAATAAATATTTTACCAATATAATTAATAAGCAGAACAAAATACAGATTACCCGCAGACAATGCATGTTCATACAAAATAAAGCTAAAAAATTATGATATATTTGTATATAAAAAATTGTAAATGAAATGTGCAAGTTACTTATTATAGGTATCGTGCAAAGAGGATTATTGAGGCGTTGCCTCCGTGGGTCTATAATTTTAGCATCACCGAAATTGGTAAATAATTTAATGAATAGTATAAGTTATCAGTACTTACTCATTACTTATTATTTATAATATTTCGATTATGGTACAGTACATTATTATCGTTGTGCACGTTATTGCTTTATTATTTGTACACAACGCTTTTCTGTAAAATAAAATATTCCAAAACAGTAAAGATAAACTCGGTCAGTGTAATTAAAATAAATATTCTTTGATTTTTTACTTGCACTGAACAGATGATATTCGATACCTATTTGTTTTAAATAATACAAAATAATATTACAAAATGGGATTATGATTTATCGATAGTTTTATTCAATTGATTATTTCGAGTAATAAATAATATTATTCCGAATCATTATACAAATAATAAAATTTCGAGAATGTCGATTATGAAAGTGTATTAATTACTAATAATTAGATTATTGAAATAATTCGATTATGCCCGTCACTATTTTCCAGAAATATTGCTCCAATCAAAAATGTTCAGGAACTTTCTTGTAGCTTTAAATATTATATGGTTGGTGATCTGATATAGACACTTATTAATTTTTCTTGTAGTTTTTCTTAACAAATTGAGAAAACCCGTAAATGTGTTTGTATAAATTTATTGATTTCTGGATTATCTTGGTAACAAGGAAAAAAATACAACTAATGTGACACTCTCGTAGCAAAAGTTTATCGTTGCATATGTATATGTATATAAATTAGATTAATCTATTAGTAAAAAATATATAAATTCCTCCTTTTCAACTTTCCTCCCAACAGCGGTAGCACGATAATCAGCAGTATCAGTTTTTTTAGGTTCTGAACGGAGCGAGAAATGTATTGGTTTTACGGTGATATTTTTTTTTTTTTTACAACTTTTCTATCAGAAATTTTGCTCCGATTTTCAAGTGTATCACTTTTACTACAAGGGAATTGGATTGAGGTGGTACTTTGAAGAGGTAATTTTTTTATTTTCCTGGGGGTTTTCATAATAAATGAAAAAAATTGAGATAAACCGTAGGAAAAACGGGAAAATCGTATATATTACGGCCTTTCAAAACATGTGTAACCAAACTACGCTCAGAATTGTTTTTCGTTAGCAATGATTTGCGTAAAGGATATACTTTAAATTCTCTCTCTATCTCTCCAACTTCTCACCTACAACGGTGGCCCACCCATCGTGCGAAGTATGTCGCACGATGGGTGTGCGTTGTTTAAGTATGTTAAAGTATGTAAGTATGTTGTTTGTTTTTGTTTAGTTAACTAATAAATATTTTAATGGCATGTACCTATAGTTTTATACTTTTATACTATCGGAAACTATAATAATAATATCTTTTCTTCGACTGAGTATTCCTAAATTTGCGTCTACCCTACTCACGCGAAATACTCGCATGTGTCTGGCCAATACACCCGTTGTTCTGCAGTGTTTGCTCCGTGTCGTAACTATCCTACGAACACACAAGGCGCGGTTTAGAGGGAGTTTCAGCTATGTGCATTGTGCACTGTAAATTACATATAGGATACCCTCAACAAACACCGTTAAACAGCATTATTATTAATAGTACGTACCGGGTACCTATTGGTAGTATTGTTTGTTTCATAACCAGCAACGGTTATAATATATTATTGCAGAAACTGGACGGATTTTGAAACAATCGACGAAATATCGATTACGACAAACCAAAAGCACGTATCTGAACACATTTACGGCTGTTCGGCAAAGCTAGCCAATAATACTAGTTAAAAAAGTTAAAGGTGTAAATTACTTTTTTGATAACTTTTTATTTAACTAGTTAAAAAAAAAATAGAACATACTATTAAATTCACTTAGTTGTTTTGTTAAAATTTAAATTATTTAAAACGTTATTTACAAAAAAAATTTCGTATGAAACGTTTTTTTTGCGTTTATATTTCCACGAAAACTATGTATCTCTGGCATATATGACATGGCTATCATTACTACATAATAAGACGTCATAGTGTAACCAGACGTCTCACATCAGGCGCGATTATACCGATCTATTATAAGATCTGCGTCTCATTTTCACAAAAATGTTCAATATTATTGTATTAATTTATTATTAACTTAAGTTATTATCTGGCGATTTATTTTTATGTTGTTGGTCAGTTTGTTACACTTCCAATATTAAATGTTGCAAAATACATATTATAGCCGTAAGTAATATACGTTTATTATTACTTATACCTATAAAAGTATTGATAATATTATTAGATATAGTTCAAAATACGTTTATGCGTGTAGTTAAGGGCAATTTTATTTAAACTTTAGTTGATATTTTTCTGAAAAATGTTAACTAAACTCAGTTACTCGATGTAGTTACTAAACTACTATCGTGAAAAAAATAATGATTTATTAAAATCGTCAAAGTATTTTATCTTCAACAGTTTTACAGTTTTACTGAAGATTTTTTGACTCGGTCCCAGAAAAATTAATTTTAAAATGTGTATTTGACAGTGTTTTTATCGTAACTAACTCCGTGCACCCCACGTCTTCTATTGTATTCGGTTTTTATTAAATTCCAAATCCTGTTTGTTTAAGTGCCGTCCTGGCCGTAAAAAAAAAAAATTGAAAATAAATAATACGAAAACTTTTTTGTATACATATATTTCTAACTTCTTATCAAATACTGTGAGATATTGAATATAAAACTAATATTATAATGGTTGTTCATTTATAATTGAACAAAATATAATATTATTCAAGTGGAATGTCGTATTACAGTTACCACTTATCACTAATATTATACTGTCGGATAGTTATAGAAGGGCTAACAGAATCAGGAAAGTCAAAGCCAGAAACTATTAAATTCAGGAATGATAATTTACAGGGATTTAAATACGAAAGAAACGTAAGAAACGATTTTTCTTACGATAATTACGATAATTTTAGAAACAAAGAATTACAGGAATGATAAAAATTTAAAAAAATATTTCACAAGAAGAAAAATACAGGAATTATAATTAACAAGTATAATCAATACAGTAATTATATTGATTTTAACCTCCTTCCCTATACCATATTCGGTATAAATCTAATACCGGACACTTGAATTTATTGTTAATATTACAAAATATTTGTGAAAATCGAATTTATAAAACCCGTAAAGAAAAATCTAAAAACAAAAGATAATATGTACTCTTCGTCCTCGTCATTTATCGTTTTAGCATCAATAAACTATAAACATACAATTATTATAATTAAAAAAAAAAATAAACAATAAATATTGATTAATATACAGTGTACACCGATATTATCAGAAATATAATCGCGATTATGAATATTAAAAATTATGTTACGCATAAATTACCATTTTAAAATTGAAAGTCGATACCTATCTAAAGGAAAATATTATTGAAGGGTGTGAGATCGTTATTTCAAAAATATGTATAGTACACTGAAATAATTTAATGATGTTAAAAAAAAGTATAAAAAAGTAATTCATTGTTGAGTTTACCGACCTGTAATTTATAATTTTAATTAAAAAATACGGTATACAAATTATATAGATACGTAATACCGATGATCTACTATTGAAATACATGTTTCCAATGTTACATGATAGTATTTTTCTTTTCTTTTGCAAATATCTTTTTACTCCTGAAATTGTATTGTTTTTACAAAAAAATAGAATTTAATCAGAATTTCGTATTTTTTCAAAGTTTAAAATAAGCCTTTTGTATAATACGTATGCAGTGCACCATGGATTAAGATTGACCGGGATTCTAACATAGACTAAGCAGACTAAGTTTATATCTTAGACCATTCCATTGTGTGCAATGTGCATTTTAGATAAACGTCTGCTATGAACGAATAAAAAAATAAATTAAATAATTTATTCTTCGATTTGATGTAATTATATATAGTTAGATAAATAATAATCGTTTAAAAGTTTCTACTATAATAGTTGACGAATGCAAAAAACGTTTTAAATTGTAATATCCGGGAACTTCAAAAGACTGCAAAAAATTAATAGTCTACCTGTACAAAAGTTTTTATCATCAATATTATAAACACAGAAAGGTCTCTGAAATGGCGAAATATCTACAAGATGTTTTAAAAGCACTTATATGACTACATAAGTATAGGTATTAAGTATAGTATTAATATATACATTGGTGACGATTTTCCATTTTCTCCAATTTCGTATAGTTTACAAAAAAACCAAATCCTTGAAACTGTATTGTGATTCACTGCATTTTGAACTACGATACGCTTAGATTTTTAATTTTAATATCTTTATCATATTAAGTAACAGGAAAAATTATTCAGATACATTTCGAAAATTTTTTCAAAAATAAAATCATGATTTTTTTTTACCATTTTCAGTAAAATAATTAAATTTCGATTTCCTAAATGTCCTAATAGTAAATAACCTAGAGAATCATATCCGTTTTCAAAATTGAAATCCGCCTAGGATAATTCCTACAATTTTATCCGACATTTTGGTTCTAAATGAACGAAAACATACACCATTACCAATCCACTAAATACATTTTAACAATACTATTCGCATTTCAAATAACAATAATATAAATAATAATTTTAAATCTAGTTGATTTTTTTTTTCGTTTCAAAACGATTCTAAGCGATTAGATTTTTCATGAATTTGGACGAAGATCAATAGCTGGTGAAAAATAAACATATTATTGGAAGGTAGTCCAATTTTAATTTCGAAAAACAAATTGAACTCGTTAAGCTTTTTTCTATATTTTTTAAAAGACAAAATTGTTTATTTTTTTTCTCTCGTTTGTTTTAGGTTTTATAATTTTCGAAAAAATTCTTTCGTTTTTATATACTACCTGTATACTGCGAAAGAGGGTAATAATATTATTTCTGTCTTGTATGTATATATATTATTTAAAATTATGTATTTAAAATGTAAAGGAATTCGGTACAGCCGTTAAAATATGTCGACGGTATAAAATAATAATAATAATTGTTCTGGCTTTTCATTCCTCTTAAATAAACTTTAAAATGTTTAAAAATAATAAACGTTGGGTCAATAATATAAAAAAAAAAATACTCTCGCATTTTTTATGTATGCCTACTAAACTTAGGAAATTATTCACTTTCAGTATATTAAATTTAAAAAACCTATGCAAGCAACAATTTTTAATGTTTTCTAAAACTCTAACGAAATTGTATTAAAAGGGTTTTTACGTTCAAATCACAATAGTTATAGTAATAATTACAATTATTTGTACACAAAATGGTGACTATGTTGCTCTTTTATATTACCACGAGAATAAATTATTTTTAACCCTGGATCAAATTGACGATTGTTTGTATGACGCCAAAATACACATTAATTTATATCCACCAACAATTTTAAATAGCTATAAGTAATTCAAAAAACACCAGAATTTAATTAATTAATAATATAAATATGGAAAATATCAAGTATAAGTATATGAATATGAAATTGTTGAATCTCTATGGTCATTTTTCACTTAATTTAGCCGAAATTTTTCCATTATTTGAAAAATTAGATAATATTTCCAAAAATAACCTATTTAATGCACCAACTAGGTCCAAAATTCCAAAAACCATCACCCCTGAGTTCTAAAGTTGGTGAGTTCTAATCAAAAACTTGTTTACAAACAGAAAAATCAATTATCTAGCAAACTGATCAAATTTGTTCATAAAAATGTAAACGCAGTGTTTTTTGTTCTTAAATAGTGTATTTATATAAAGATATTATTGCCAGTGACACCCAGAATACGCCCACGAAATTGATGGATTGGTCGTTGATAGTGATCGGTCGGAGATATAAAAGTGTAGAACCATAGAATAGTAATTTTTAAGTAATAACTTACTATCAACATTTAACTACCGATTTGTTCATACAAGATTGACAATAATTGTGTAGTTGTGTGGGCAGAATACAGTGGCGGAAGCGGAGCTCAATCAAAAAGGGGGGGGAGCAATTTAATAATTGTAATGTACCACGGATATAAAAATACTATTGTATTTCATTACCTATATTATAGACTATAGCCGTGATTAAAACATCACCACTTTAAAATGCCAAGGAAGCTATCTCTGCTACGCCTCTGATAGAATAAACAATCTCTTGACCTCGTATAAATAAAAAAATACTCGCCACCGAATATTAAAACTGCCACAAGCCCGTGTATGTGATGCGTATAGGTGACTGTTGTAGATAATATTCTGTGAGTTACAACATAACGGATGATATATAATATTATACAATACACAATGGGTAATAATATTATAGCAATAAAAATAATAATATCGTTATTATAAATCAAAACGAGACAGTCTAAAAATAAAATAAACGCACAGAGCAGTAAATTACGATATTATATTGTGTTCTGTGTATATGTGGGACGAATAATGAGCTATATTCGGTTTTTTTTTTTTTTATTCCCCGGAAAATAGTTTTTAAACCAGTATATAATAATATTAATAAAAAAAAAAAACTGCAAAAAGTTTCATCGATCGTCGGCTTAATAGATACTCATACACCTACCGACCGGGTAATTTAACGCAGATGGTACCACTTTGGACAGGTCATTTTTCGAATTTCCCGAAATGTTTATACATACCAGCAACCGGGTAAAAATAATAATACCAGTATTTTATACGCAATTAAGCGTGAACTGTATTAAATCGGAGCTTTTTTCGTCATTTATCTTTGTTTATCTTTATTTTTACGATAGCTCGAAAATGTCAAACAATTATTATCATTATAATCAATAGATACATTAGACTATTCGATTATAAATTCTCGTTAGTTACATAGTAATAATTATCGCAGTGTAAACCATAGAGGGAAATTTTCCAAAATTTTAGGACGAGCTAATATTTTGAAATACGTTAATATGCGTATCAAAGCCGGTCTCTACGCTTGCAAACATCGTCTTACCTTAAACACCACGAAAAAACTAAGTGTGATTTATTTTAGACATCCTATACCGGTTAAAATACCATACGTAGGTACGTATACAAGTAGATATGTAATGTGTATATTATGTATTATATTAATATTATGGAACTATTACTTTAAAGATTTAAGAAAGATAATTAAATGATTAATCACCGAAATAATTTAAGCGACATCAATTAATTTAATTATAATAACGAGATTTAAACTTAAAAAGACGAACATACTTCGCATGTGGGTGGGCCACTGTTTTAGGTGAGAAGTTGGGAAGGTAAAGGGGAAATTGAATGCATATATGTACGTAACGATCAACCATTGCTAACAAAAAACGATTCTGAGCAGAGTTCGGTTAATAATGTTGCTTTGTCAACAATATATAATATATATGTTACATTATGATAAAAAATTAACATGAAATATACCACATATTTTCTTTAATATTATTCAATTAATATTGTATTTATTTTTCCGTTTATTAGGAAAACTCCTAGAAAAATAAAAAAATGGCCTTCTTCAAGTACCACTCCAGTAAAATTGCTGGTAGAAAAGTTGTTCACAGGAAAAAAAGGACCGTAATATTTTTTTTTACTAATACCTACATTTCATATATTTTCCGTTTTTCCTGATATTTTTCAATTATATCGGGAAAATTCCTCGAAAATCCAAAAAAATCCTTCATTAAATTACCATAAAGATAAAATTTCCTTTCAGAAAAAATACTACACTAATCCCTCGAAGTATGATTTCTGGCACAACAAATCATTAATTCAACAAATCAACAAATTATTATATATAATATACATATTATCTATATATTTATTATTTATATTTGTAAAAAGTGACCGCTAACCATTTTACACTTAATATACTTGAGGGTATCTTATTCCTACGTTAATTGGTTTAAGTGGCTTAGCCCATTCAATCATCACCCAGTGTATCGTTTAAGACACGTTCTTACATACATGAAAAATATAAGTTAATTCAAACCTAAAATATGATTCCATTTCGTAATTAAATTCTTCAACGTTATTACAATAAAAGCTGATTCTAATCTTTTGTGAATCTTTAATAAAATATGAATTTATCTGTTTCATTGAAGTCAAAATATTTGCCGAGCAGATCTTTATCGAATTATTGCGTTTTTCGGGGTTTTATCTCTGAAACCCTGCAAACTTTTGTCTTTATTATATCTTCCCTTCTTTCATGCTCGTCCTACGCAGCAAGTAAATGTTTTACGTTCTACTTAAAACTGCAAATGAACCTCGTGTTGTCCATGCCTTGTTTGTACGTTTTAGATAATAATCGCAGAAACCTTGTCCTTACGTATAAAATGTTTCGTAAAAGTTTTTAAATGGAACGAAAAAAAATAGAAAATGCATTTATAAGGAATCTACCAAGAGTTTAAGAAAATTATTATTATTTTTTGTTTAGAATTTGAGAAATAATAAATCATTTTATCGTATGATAGAATAATATAGAAAATTATATCGAAATAGAAGAAACTTTAAAGAAAAAAATTAACTTCTAGTAATACACAATCACTACGCAACTTCATTATTCGATTTTAGATAACAAACAAGACGTATATTGTTATACATTATCAGAATAATAAATATTACAATGGGAACAACCACTTATATAAATAAACAAGGCATTACAGTGGTAGGAAAATATTTGATACTGCTCACAGGTAAGCCATTTATGTAGGTAATTTAGTTAATTTACTATATAAGATGGTAAACCATTGGAAATGAAAAAATACTCTGAGTCGGAAACTAACTCAACTTCTTAATAATACTCAAAATCCAAAAATTTCATACATAAATTTATTTTGTGTTACGGATACAATCCGTTCAATACGTTCTAAAAGAAACAAAATTAAAATATTTTCGTTTTTTTTTTTTTTTTTTATAACACGACTTAAAATAAAGAAAAAAAAGTTTAATATAAAAACAATTCACGGGACATTTTGTAAGCAAAAAAAATAAATCTCGGTTTTGACATCTTTTTGATTATGCCACGCTGTATATACAAACATTTTTCGCAAACCAAAGTTATGGACCACAAAAACGTATAATTTCATTTTGATCGTTGTTTAGTTTATTGAATTTCCAAGATAGCAATATTACGAGTATCACCAAAATATATATTATTAAATTTATTTTTTGAATCCCTATGCATTGTTATAATTCCGTTCATGGATTTTCGTCTTTTTTTTTTTAATTTAATTTTGAAATATTGTTTTTTATTTCAAATGTTTTTTATTTATTAAACTAAAAACGATCCCTTCGAAAATTCAAATTATTCCGTTTAAAAACAATATTAATAACCACGTGTCTATTGTTAACCAGTCAAGTATTTTATTATTTATTTTAATAATAATGTTTTTTTTTCGAATATCCATTACCTACTTAGTATAATATCGCATTAAAAAAAAAAAAAACACATATGACCAACAAAACTCCTTTTCTAGAGTCAAATTTTCCCTTATCTATTTCGTGTTATAGATTTATTCTTTGTGAAACAATAAATAACCGAATACTCTAATAATACTGTGTCCATTATTATACTACTCCCAAAAATGAAAAATAAATAAATGGAGCTATTTGAATATAAAAATGGTAGGAGAGGAGGAGTGAAATTGTATACACCCAAAAGTAGCGTCCTTGATACTAACGCCAGGGGTACGTCACAAAATTTCATTCATCTGGCTTCATTTGGAAAGGAAGGTTTTTAGGATTGTTCTTAGAAAAAAGAAAATATTCCTTCCACAATATATTAATATATGTATTATTATAAAAAAAAACCAATAAGTATCTGCACAGCATCAAATTTCGGGGAAAATACAACCGAAATGTATTTGGATGTAAATAAGTTTTCAAGTATTTATTCGTTTGTAATCAAAACGAAAATAATAAATATTTTCTGTATTTTTAAGTTTCTTAATAATTTTTAAATTTTTACATCGGAATTATTCAATATATATTGTATCATAAAGAAATTAATTTGTCATTTAATAATCTATTTCGTAAAATAGAACCACGGCAATGTTTCGTGATTTCAATTTTAAAATAAATGTATTTTATAATCCTAAAGTTTGCATGTGCAAGATTTCGAAGGTAGGCAAAAAGGTTAATCGTGTGGAACGGGCGTTGCCGGTCTTTTCTATCTGTGAAATTGACTGAATAAAAACGATTATAGTTTTGATTAGTTTTACCCATTGGTATTTCATTTTTTTTTTTTTTTTTTACATAATATTTCCTTACGATGATATGAATTTACACGCGATAAAAACGAATTACACAAATTTAAATATAATTGTCTTTTTAAAATACGTGTTTCTCATTAAAAAGTTATCATTGCCATTGGGTATTGCAGAAAACGCTATAACAAAATAAAAAATGTTAAGCTGTATATAGAATTGTTATATGACAATATTTAGCAGTGATATTTTTGAAATTGTGTGGTAGAGGGTGAACCTTTAAACTGGGACAACCGGGAGAAGGGAAGTATAATTCCCCACAAAAATTAAGTTTTTTTTAAGAAATTTTAAGCAGTATGTAACAGTTGCATAATTCGTATTACAACTACAGATATTACCTAATAATTTTGAATACGTGTACATCATACAAACCATCCATTAACTTTTTATTCGAAAAACCTATCCAGAAATTTGTTTAAAACGAAAACTCTCCCAACCCCTGTATTACAGGCCTATATAAATATTATAAAATAGGTATGTAGAATAATATCTTCTTTTCGTTATCCCCACACATGTACTCGTAACTTTTGTCTTTTTTGATCTATTATTGTTAAACAGAAAGTTTTTAGATAAAAATCCTTCGGTATTATGAATAGGCGAGTAATTTCTATTCCTGACTACTTTTTTTTCTTTCTTTTTTTTTTATAAAAATAATAGGTATTAGATATTATTTGTATTCGAGTGTATCGTATTGTTTGTTTTTATTTCATTGACTGATTAATATTTACCGCTTAAAATGTTGACGATAAAAAATCCTACTGGAAAACGCAAATAAATAATAAAAACAAAAAAAAGTTTCTAAGATGTCTACCGACCTTGTTAATAATTATTTTACGAAACTCACGGGCCACAAAAACCTAAGTACGAAAAGATATATAGCAGCTGCTGTCATGACTCACATCCTCGCACTCGGGTAATTTACGTATAAAACTGCACGACTGCATAATATAATATGACGATTACTATTTGCATATAAAAGAAATGTCAATAATAAACTATTGTACTATTGTGTTTAAAAAACCGATTCACCGAGTCAGCGTACTGTAAATTTAAGCACAAACTTTGTCAAATGCATTTTTTAAATATACTACTGCCTACCATATCTTTATACGTATCATAATAAACAAGTTCAAAATATTAAGACAGACAGCATTAAATTATAATACCGTTTCAAATTTAAACCGTTTTAACTGAATGGAGTAAAAATAACGGATATATTTAAAAAGAAATCAAAATAATTTAAGACTATACGTAGATCCCTTGTTCCGCTCGAAAAAAAAAACAAAACAATACAACTAAAAACGAGCATCGTAATGAATTATTCAAAATTCAAAAACTTTATCAAATGCATTAATTTAACAAGAATTGTGTTTGATAACAATAGGTCATTTTTTATTAATACTCGTATTTTAGCATTATCTTCGTAAAATATAATGATCGTACTGGTGATGGGATTATAAGAAATTCGAGAAGAGTAGGTAGCAAAAAAAATAAAATAAAATAATAAAAAAGTGGTAATTTAATCGTATTTACTTTCGGATTTTACGATTTCTACAGTTTTCATCATCAGTGATGATGTTTAAATGCCGACAGCTATTTGACGTGAAACAGGAATTCGTTTGATAAATGATCGCGTTAAAGTCAGAAGAGGTCGCCTAGGCGCGAAGGCTATTACTATACATTGTACTTCCATTTAAAAAGAAATCGTTTCGATCAATCTTTCAACGTTTAATATAATTATACCGTATTTTTCGCGGGTGTCGTAAACACCGTACATTAAATACCTATGGGTAAGATATTTTCAATTTTTAATAATATCCGTTAAAATATTATTGATAACTATATTATTATAATCTATATAATCTAAGACAAGAGGATGCTCGGCAATGAAAATTGTTTCAGATTACAATTGTGTATAAATATTATAAAGATTGACGATGTAATGCGTCGATAAAGTAATCATTTTTTAAATATATTTATATTCCTTGATTTATCGGCCGTGTTTTTATAGGAAATGTTGGTACTAATTTTATTTAGTTTATTTAGTTAAAGTATGTGACGAGTTTACTTTTTTTTTCAAATAAATTCGAACCAATTTTTTTCAAAAGAGAAATTTGATTACTGGAAGTATATATATTGTATATATTTTATTCTATAGCTGGTTGTTAGTCTAAACCTATGATTAAACGAATCGTTTCCCACCGTCACAATAATATTCTAGAGAATTTCGTGTGACATTATTATTATCGTGGCTCATTACTCTTTATTGGAGTATTTGGGTTAAACAAATTTGCGTTTTCAAGTTAATGAAATATTAATTCAAGGTATTTATTTGACGACTGACATATACTTGTCTAGTTGCCAAATGTTTCGCCGACTAAATCGTCTTTTATATGTAGATGACGAGAAACAAAACGTAAGTACATAAAACTAAATCAATATTTTGAAAATAAAAACTAATCGAGAAAAGAAACGAGAATTGTTTTAGGTATATATATGAGTGTGTGTATGTATGTGTATGTGTGTGTGTGTCTGTACAGGAAGTATCAAGAGACAGAGATCTTTTATAAATATTTGTGAAGGCAATAATGTCGGTCTTCGTTCAGCTTGATTTACCCCGACGTTTTATTTTATTTGATCTGAGATGTGGTCTACACACGTCGTTATTGATTCGTTCAATGTTCATATTCTCCCGGATAACGAAAAAAACAAAAACGAAAACCTACTTAAAATCTAATCATTGGTACCACATAACGCGGAAATAGTTGTGCGGTCCATTCGAACTGCCCATTTAATAAAACGTGGAGAATAATATTTATAATCTATACAACTTTAATAAATGTATTTTGACCTGTAATGTTTATGCGATTTATCGTGTACATACATCATAAACAGTGGTTGGATGTTCTATATTATACAAATTTCAGTTTTCTTAAAAATACACCTCGTATAATACACATAATAGGGAAGAAATATAAGATAATATAATTTATACGTATTACTACTCGTTGTGCAACTATAGGATCTATATCCGTGATCTCGACCAATTAGAATTATTTTCAACATGTCTTATTACGTTTCGTTGCCTCGTTGGACAACCGTTAAGTGCCGGGTATTTCGAAAATTATAAGGCATTTTTATTATCACTAACCACCTACATGTACACCAACGTAACAGAATAAAATATCTGAATTGTTTGAAATGTTATGAGTATATTGTATTCATAAATGAATCATGCTATTAAATGCTATTATGCTACTAAAGTAATTTGTTTTACTATTAGTGATAGTAGTGATACAGTCTTAGGTTAAATTAATTTTTGCCGTAAACGTTTTCACATAACTGTGTTTAACAGTAAACACAAGCAAAAGCTGTAATACAAAAATATTTAACCTTTTAAAAAGAAATAAAAACATTACTTTAGATACAACTAGTTAAAAACATTAAAACAAAATTAAATTTACAATAACTATGTAACTATAATGCAAGACAAAATGTATTAATACCAATATGTCGGAAAAATGATATATTTTATAATTTATTTAAATATTTATTATACAGATTGATGTTGTTTAAATCTTTTGAAATTTATGATAACTAATTTACCCCACAACAAACTTAACTTCAAGAGGTAAATACATTTGAATTTATTTAAATGTAATGTATTAATTTATGTATTTATGTATGGATAGTACAGATTAAATAAAGTTTTAAGTTTATTAGGTTTTCTTATAACGTATAAGATAATAGCATATTTTATAAATGATGAAATCACCGCAACACATATTTAAATGTCAAATTATTTTATATTAAAAATAAAAACATATTATGCTGGTAATGGCAACATTTCAAAATTATTGTACTCGAGGCTCTTGTCATTTTTCGAACAACCACCGGTCTCCCGCAACCGTTATAATATCTACAGCTATAATCTCAACAAACTGTAAACTGATAACTCTATAAAATTACGTCTTACGAATTACATTATATATTGAATTTACGAAAATGGTTTCAATTTTATTATTTAATTAAGATAAGTAAGTCTACGCTTTGTACTTTAGTTTTACGGTTCGGCGTTCCATAATCCGGAACACCTGAAAAGCATGTAACTTTCTATTTTATCGGGACCATAAACTCACTCAACGAACATTTAAGATAACGTAAAGACGGTAAACATAAGTGTAAAAAGAGGGTTTTGGGCTGCCCCAATTTAGCCGTTGTTTCCTCCGATTATTTTTCAAATGACCACGTCCCAACCAAAAATACTCTATATACTCTTATCATAACATTTTATTGGGTTTAAACCCTCTCCCCTAAATTTTTGACTCTGAATGTGTCAAGTAAATGTAAATTGTATATAAAAGTCGTGAGTTTTCATTTTGAAAATCTGCGCATCCTAATTCAAATACTTTTTAAAATACCTATTCGAATGTAATATATTCTGAATATATATTTTTAAACTTATTCGAATACGTATTCTGATTTCTGAATACAAATTAAAAGTAGGTATTCGTTACAAGACTATGTGTCTATATATAATTATATACCGATTATATACTGTACGGTCATTGATTTTTCGAGAGGAATATTGTAATTTATATGTACAGCCCGAAACTTGCACTGTTAATAATATATACACTATACCTCTATGTATAGGGATGATGGTGATAGTGTGATGACATGACATGGTCATCCACCAGAGAAATCGTAGGGCGTTTTTATCAAAATATAGTGTACAAACACACGACTACGGGACATGAAATTAATTTGATTAGCTGAAAATGTCACAAAATGTTTAAAACGACTAATTGGTATAGTTTTTTTTTATTTTTTTTGGAAATTTCGAAATCATTTAAAACAACAATGTTAAATCAAAATAACGGCCTCTATCTGTACAGGAATTTACTATAGTAATATTCAGTTTCGATGACTTATAACCTGACCTTCAAGTTGAACTATTTTATTAAACAGTTTTATTATTAAGAAACATTGTTTTGAAATATTTTAATCGCTATATTATGATATTTTATATTATTATACTTTCACTACTGAACGTTCGCGGTTTCTGCGGTTTGGACTTTGCTATTTTTGTAATCTTGTTTTTTCTTCCACTATTACCTATTATACTACTGTCGTGACGCCCCGAGGAATAGCATTTACTCAACACGGAAAAAATGTAAACTCCCAAAGCCACCCTTAACATGAATATAATATTATAATACAGGACCGGCGTGTGTGATGTTCCACATTTGACACTCGTTTTGTAAATATTATTTTGTTTTGACTTATTGAAAAAATATTAAATATTCGTGTTCGTGAATAACGTTTTCCGGTATAAAATATAATATTTTACGCGGTAGCAAAATGTTTAAAAAATCGCCCACAAAAGTCACACTTAATATGAATATGTTATTACCACGACACGGTGATATTCCATTCGACACTCGTTTTAAAAAATATATATTTATATATATATTTTGTTTTTTTTTTTTTTGAACTTATTGAAAAAGTACAACAAAAATTCGCGTTCATTAAGGAAAACGTTCCGTGTAAAATATAATAATATTTTTTCGAATCGATTTTTTTATTTTTTCGTTAATGATGTTTATTTTATTTCATTTTTTTTTTTTTTTTTTTTACTAAAACATGTACGCGCAAAATCCACTGTTTGTATATTTTATATTAATATTACTGACATAATATTATATTTATTCAATTCTCCATATATATTGTATATTATTGATAGTCACATCATAATATATTTATATACTTTTTTTTTTTTTTATAATATTATACACTTCATAACAACGTAACGTGCATATACATATACCTATCCACGTGCCCGAATAAAATTGTTCATCGAACTGAACGACGAAAAACACGACTTTCTTTATAATATTTCTCGTAATATCATGCATTTTTATGCATACAAATGTTCACCGTAATAAAGTGGTATATAAAATTACAATAACGACTATACAAAATATTATATGAACACAATAATAATATTATATTTTCGGTGCACGACAACGACACTACGATTAATATTTATGTAAGCCTTTCAATGTCCGCACAATACGCAGACCGGGAATAAGTAAACTACAATAATACGATAAACTGTACATTTTATTTTAATCGGTTAATGGATATTACTTCTGTGTTCCACTTGTTTTATCCTTGTTTCTTCCTACATAATCATGTGTATGGTTATAAATAAACAGTAGTGAATCTTTTCCCCGTGAACACCGTCACCGTTACAATATTTATATGTCATTAAATTTTAAACATATTTTACTTTCTGAAAATTAAATTATTTATATATTTGTCAACATGGATGCAGTTCAATTCTATTCGGGGGAGGGTTAATAGAAATAAATTGTATATTGTCCACGGACAAGGCCAATGCTGTAGGTTGACAGTTGGAAAGGTAAGATGGATACCTATACAAAGTAATTTAGTTTATATGCCTATACTGTAACGATAAATCATTCCAAACGAAAATCGATTCTGAGCGGACTAGTATCAAGATACTCAGAAATCAACAAAAAGTAAACTTAAGTAACTTCTTCGCTATACTCAGAATTAAAAAACAGTATTATAGGTATTTATTTTTCACCAAACAAAATTTAAAATTATTAAAAAACTAATAATGTTAAAAATTAAATTTATATTTAATTACTTATGCCAATAGCAATAACGACAATAAGTAACTAAATTAATTTGTGTAAATATTATACTAAAAAAATGCTCGTGCCATAATAAAATTACACTGATTTCCTATTAACCGTGACGACGAGTAAAATCGTCTAGTCGGATCACTCAATTTACAAGTTCAATACCCCTGTGGTTTATCAGCACTACAACAAACTGTCAAAAAACTTTTCTTAATAGTACAATTTTGTTGCTATTTTAGTACACTACCCTATTCAGGTTTCATAATTCTAATATTTCAAAAAATCACATTATTTATAATAATCTATAAGTTACATATTTTTATTTCTTGTGGCTTCTTTTTATTTATTGGCGAAAATGATGATAACGTATATCGGGTACATTTTATTAAAAAGGGAAAACTAATTTAATATTAGGGTATCGGGGGAAATATTAAATTTCTATTAAAAAATCATATTAAATCAGTTGTTTAATTGCATTTTTAATAAATCTCGTGTTGATAAAATGCATAGAAAAAGTTTAACGATTTTATCAGTAAACTGAAAAAAAAAACCCCAAAGTCATTAATTATAATCACATAGAATTTTATGCGACGCCTAACATAGCAAATAAAGAATTCCTATCGTCTATATACTCATCCATAACACCAACGTTTTACTCTCAAAAAGCCATAAATATCTTTGAATAGCCTCTGGGTTTGACTTTTGTACAATAATATTAAAATTAGGTCTCGTATAAACGCGAATTTATTTTTCCAATGAACCTTTTATGATATTTTATCGTTCAGATTTTGTATCGTCTTTTCTAGATAATCAGTTTGAATATTAATGTTTTATTTTTTAACCGAGTCCAAAATATATAACGTAACAATAATCGCATACAATAAAATGCAAGTTCAAAATTATTCACGTTATAAATTATACAATTATTTTAGTAAACTATAGGTATTTATACTTTATATAAAAAAACCTAATAAAAAAAAAAGCCGGTAACATTCCACGTACAGCCGTACGGGATACTGTCCGTGATGAGTAGGCTGCTGTTGTAGGGAAAAGGTAGGATTTATAGGGTAATTTAATTTAAATCTGTACGTAACAATAAATCATTGCTAATGAAAAATTACTCCGAGTGACGCTCAGTTAAACACGTTTTGAAATGCCGTGATTTTCATCAAAATTCGGACTTAAAACGTGCCTTGAAAAAAAAATCTACTACATTACGGTATACTTTTTTTACTACTGAATATAACTTAGGATAAACCTTGTATTAAATCTTCGAGAATTTTTAAAACAGTTTTATTCAAGTAAAATCAAATAAAAACTAAAACGACTAGAAAATTTCAAATGGCTATAAAAAGCTAAAAAATCGTCAAAATAATTTTAAAATTTAACCACGTATAGAAAGAGCTAATATAATTTATATTATAAGTGAAAATATCAGGTCATAAGAATTTACGATTCTTTTAAACTGAATTACAACAAAAAAACAAAATTAAAAATTGTACAGAAATCATTATTGTGTTAATTTTCCCGTTTGTCCGTCGTTTTTTTCCCGATTATTAAGAAAACTACAAGGATAGTCAAAAAATGACCAACAAGATTACTTGTGATTTTATCGATACCTAATTTTTTTTTTTTTTTTTTAATGTTATTTGATCAAAGAGATTGCCGACTACAGGCGCATGACCCAATAAATTGAAATATTATGTTCAACGAGAATCCCATATTTAAAAAAAAAAGTATAATGCACACTTAACACGTGAACGAAGCTCACGAACATTTTCTATAGCGTTTTAAACCAACTGCATATAGTACACCTCACGCCATTTGACGATTTTATGCAAATTAGAAGGCCAGGAAAATAATATTAAGCATAACACTATAGGTTCCTTATTCTAACGCCTTTATTTTTACGAACAAAATATTGATTTTCCATTTTCTTGTTTTTATTTTATCAAAACTCACGATCTAAACTAAAATAGCATTGTTAGAACAATAGTGATTGGAATAAAAATAAGTACTAAACCCCGACCACTCCTAAAAAAAAAAAAAAAACAAAACAAGTGTAAATACAACTAATAAAATGACTTTATTATAGTATAAATCTAGCATATGGTCAATAATAATACAATTTTACTTAAATAAAACCAGAACATTATTTTTATATTGTTGAAATATATCTTTGTAGGTATATAATATGTATAATATATTATATTATATACAATAATCATTTCCTTTCATTTAGTATACAGAGTGGAAAATCATGTTACAATACCGGCCCAAAGTCCGTTTAAATCATTGAAATGTATTCCTGTATAATATTTCAATAAACATTTAGTAATAATTTAAGTCTCGGTACGTTATGTATGAAGTATGGTTTTACCAACATGTACAATGTGCATAATACATATTATTATAATTGTATGGTTACTCTTGGTTTCTTGATTAAGTTAAATTGCATCGGTATACCTACGAGATAAAAGAAAAAGGAGCTGATACTACTAATGTATTGCGTCACTGTTATCGGTGGGAAGTTAGGAAGGTAAAATTTTAGAATTTAATGTATATCTGCAACCAAAAATAAACCATTGCTAACGGAAAAATGATTCTGAACTGAGTTCAGTTGATGTTGTTGCCTTTTTTGGTATTATGTTACATGTATTATAGTAAAATGATTAAAACAATGTACATATTTCCATGACAACAATAATTGTTTAAAAAAGATTAAAATAAATAAAAATGGTTGCCAATGACAAACCTAATTTTTAATCTTTCAATTTTTTTTAATCTAAAAACCGAAATGTTCCTCATTATCTCGAATATTAATGAGAATTTCAAAAAATGACTTCTTTAAAGTATCACCCAGAGAAAGTTAACTTTCAGAAAAGGTGCTATAATTGATAATAGGACTATGTTTTCTGGTAGAAAGTGTTCACATAAAAAAAAAAAAACCATTTTTGTAAAACCAATACATTCCGCGTTCCATTCAGGATCTAAACAATTACACACTGTAACACACTGGAATCTCCTATTAAATTTTCAATCATTTACCAACCAAATAAAAATTTACATAAAAACTCGTAAAATGAAAATGTCTATAATATAGTTTAAAAATGGCTATATTATAAAATTGTATCAAGTCCATAAAAGGCAAATATAAATTTTCTGTCAAAATTGTAAGTCTCTACGAATATTTGAACTAAATTATAACAAAAAAAAAAAAACAAAGTTGAAAATAATTAAATAAACCATTATTTCCATAAACTCGCCTGTTTATTTCTACGTTTTTCCTGTTTTTCCCAATTATTATAGAAACTACTTGAAAAATGTAAAAACGACTTTCTTAATTACCAACTAGATTAAAAATTCAACAAAAAGGGTGTCCTGTTGTTTTTTTACTAAACCAATGTTTCTGGTAGAAAATATGATGCGTAAAAAATTTAAATGGTGAAATCACCACGTGCAATAAACTTGTTAGTTTTGTTTTTAGTATTTTCCGGTTTTTCCCAATTCTTATAAAAACTACCTAAAAAATCAAATAATGCCTTTGTTTGTGAGCAATCAATTCCAAAATGTAACAAAAAAGGTATTTAAAAATCGTTTTATAAAAGCAATATTTCTAGTAGAAAACATGGTTCGGTAACGCTTTAGTGTGCCGTAAATATTTATTGTTTTTCTTATAATTTTGTTTCTGTTTTTTCTCAATTATTTGGAATTCCTTTCAGAAAATGTACTATAATTGATACATCGGAGAAAGTATTCTGTTTGAAAAGTTATTCACAAACATAAAAAAAAGTACACATCATAGTATAACCAATAAATCCCTTACTACACTCCGAATCTAAAATTATGAGATTAAATGTTGAGTTTTTTCTACCTAGGTAGTTCGTTTTCATCCGAATTTTGTAGGGGAACAACATAATGTGCTTCGTCATCACAATGAGGTTTGAAATATTCTTACCCTTATCCGACAGTTTTTAGTTCACCAGACCTTTAGTGTTGTGTATAGTAAATAATATTGTTCACTTAATTTATACACGCTATTCAGTTGAAGACGACAATGTACTACTACAATAATATAGCAACTACGTGAAATATATTATAATATCAAATAAGCGCGTAGACGTTTATTATTTAGACCACTAGGTACTGACAATATATTTTGGATTCTGAGCGAACCGAAGATTGGTTTTTACTATGATGTGCGTTTTTTTTTCTTTGTAAACAACTTTTTACTGGAAATCTTACTCAAAATTACAGGAGCGGCTTCTGGTATTAAATTTTGTCTAGTTAGTCCATGAATGTAATCATTTTTAAATTGTTTTTGTAGTTTTCGTAATAATTGGAAAAAACAAAACGTCGTATACCGAGAAAATTTACGCAGTAATGGTTTTTTGCTGCTTACGGTTTTATTTTTGTTTGCATTGTAATTCAATAGTATAATGTACTGGCTTTATTTTCTTATTTTTCTCTTTGGTGTCTGCTTATAATTTTTCTACCGGAAATATTGCTCCGTTCATATAACCATTATATATGATTCATATACTATACCGTTCAAAACGTATACGTTAATATTATTCGTTCGTTTGTGAACCACAGTTTACTGTTACCTAAAAAAGCGAGCATTTCAAACGAAAAAAAAAAGCTAGGCAAAATAAATTCGCAAAATGGCACGACAATAGCGAGTTAACGAGTCGGGTGTCTCGTATATATGTATAAGAGTCCCGTGAGGGGATCAGTCGGTTTGCATTTAAAATGCGTGAAAAACAATAGCGATGAAGGGGATATACGCGACTCGCCCGATCACAAAGTGCGTATTATAGCAAAAGGACGTTTTATCTATTAATGATCGCGGGTCGCCGAGATAATAGTAAGTATCATTTTTCAACGTTCCGTCAATATACGTCAAATAGCTGTCGGTACAATTTATATTATAGAGCGTCAGACCTCAGACAACCGTCCCTCTCCTCCCCCAATAAAATATACGGTTCACATGTATGATGGACATCCGATCAGAAATACGATAATCGTGGTGCGTTCTTACGATTTTCGATTTGTCATAATATAATATGTGGAAAATATCCGTTAAGTATAATAGAAGCAATGTTACTGATTAGCTGCTACATATACATCTACTTTCGTATATTGTTATTCTCTAAAAGACTACGGGATACTACTTTAATAGTACCATAAATCTGTTTTTGTGAAATCTATACTAATAATAATTTAAAAGAATAAATTACAAATTTATGTTGTTTTTTTTTTTAACTCTTGTAGAAAATTCCGACATAATTTGTACCATGGGTGTGCTACTGTTTTAGGTAGAATGTTTTTTTATATTGGACAATACAATATATCAGATAATTTAATTTATTTCTGTACGCAGCGATAAATCAATGGTAACAAAACACGATTTCAAGCGAATTTCGGTTAAACCCGTCAGGCACGTAGCCAAGATTTTTTAGTAAAATAATATAATAGTAATCATCATAGTAGAATCTAAAATAAATATTATCTATTATTATTATTATAAGTAAAAAGTAAACTCACAGTAGGTAGCGTTTGTTTTCAGAAATTATTAAATACTGAATTGTGAATAAAAATTGATATGGGGGCAAAGCCCCCCACGGGTTAGGTTGAGTTTAACAATTGCAAAAGACGGTTATAGGCGCAATTGGAATTTTCTCTTGGGAGGAGTTTAACCATTGGCGCTGAGTACAGAGGGGCAACGGGGCCACAACCCCATGGATTATTTCATGTTTAAAAAAAATACAGTAATAACATTTTACTCCCACGAAACTTTCGAAACTTGGCGATCTCGGGCTTAACTTCTTTAAAAAGAAACAAAAAAAAAAAGACATTTTTATCTATAACGCTACATGTAATTAATGATTAAATATATTAAAATGTTAAATCTTTAAGTTAAATTTATAATCCGTTTTGACAAATTCGTTCATTAAAATATCTTCCAAGGTGGATCAACTCATAAATTGCAGTTCTGTAACTGTAATCTATACATATTATAGTTGGTCATACTGTTATAACCATACAATAAAAAATAATAAAATCTAATCATTGATTAATAATCAATTAACAACTATTTTCAATAAACTTTAACTATTACTTTTTTTAATAAAGACATAGAAATGTTGCATTATGAGTATACATTAAATTAAACGTATTTGGGCTCTCGTGCTTGAAACTAGCCAGAGGGAGCTTAGTCCCCTCTGATGCTCTCCGAATCGTGCTTATGATGAAAGGCTTATGTTTTAAGTCCTATAATCTAGCTTCTTTTATTTTTCCAATTTAAACACTGATGTAATATAATATTATATGAAGCTATTGAATTTTTTTACCAGAACAACATTGTTTTAGGGTGCAAAAAAAATACTTAACTATTCACGACCCTACTCATAATGTATAGTCACGTACCAGCATACATAAAGTTTATTATCTATATTATATTTCAAATGCACTGACACATACGCAGAAGTGTTCAGAGCGATTCATTAATTACGTCCGATTCTGTTTTTTTGTCAAAATAACGGAAACTATATCAACCACACACAACAAAAAATGGAAATACATAATGAATTACTGACTTTGTAGTCTACCGTTGAACATACAGGTATATCTATTTATTATAAAATGTTCTAATTAACACGATGTAAACAATATTATAAAAAATAGGCCTATATTTAAAAAAAAAAACGGTGTGTATCGTTTAAATGTATGCGTTTATCATAAAAAAGTATATTTGAAATATAAAAAAGAAAAATACGTACAAAAAAATTACTATAAAACACTGAGTGATATAGTCCACATGATGGTAATACATTTGTACACATTATAACGTGTTTTCCCAGTATATGTTTTACGCACTCATAACAAAGTTGTTTTATTTTTTTATGAATAAGTAACGTTTACCTGTCGGTTCTACATATATTATTACAAAGTGTACAAAACACGATGAGAATTTTCAAAGAAGAATTTATACTATAACATTTTCAAAACTAATATATGAATACCAAACCTTAAACGAATAACCAGTGGCGAAACCAAGGGACAGTGGGTCGAGGATTGTAACCCATCTAAAATTTCATATTTTTTTTTACAAATTCCACGTAGTTGAATAGTTTGTGTTACAATTTAAGGCATTCCATGGAATATTTTGAACACGTGTAACATCGCGCACGTCACCTTATTTAATAATATAATATCATCCTAAAAATCAGGCCAGAAATTGTTTTGAAATTCATAAATTCTTCTCCTCAACTGAAAATAAATGCTATTTGCTCTAGTGTGAATAACCTAATCGAACTTCCAAATTTTTGTTTTTTTTTTTTTTTTTTTTTTTATAGAATACGTAACAAAAATTAGACTGTTTGTGAAAAAAATTTGCAATAAATGTGAAACTATAATAATGAATTATGTTAATTATGTTGTATTGATACGAAATAGTTTCGAGATTAGAAAGAAAATGCGCACAAATAAAATCTTAAACATTATGTCAATGTTTTTTTTTCTTTTTATGTTTGGAAGCAAACAGACACACCAACGATTCATTTGTCATAAAACCGCCATTGTTTTTAAAAAGTTATTTACAAATGTCAATATAAAAAGCTTTATCGGAGTTTATATAGTATGTAAGGCTTTAATTTTTAATTACTTGAATAACTCTGAGGAAAATATTTTATTTTTTCTATAAGTACGTTTCACGTTTGGGATACGTATGTGTGTAGGAATTTACTCTGTATTAAGTAACATTTTAATGTAGGTTCTCTATACATATTTAAAATATTATAATTTATTTTTTATTCAAAGTAAATTACTAGTCAACATTATTAATGCGATATTTTTTAATATTTATTAAAAATTATTATTATTTAAATGTATTTTTAACGCTAAAAGTTATAAAAGAATTATCAAGATGTTTAAAAACGAAATATAGCGATTAAATCAAAACGAACGCAGACAAAAAGCCTGTAGTCAGATCTTATAACTACTCGGACATAATGATTCACTTAATAAAATTGAAAATGACTTTAGAGTTTAAAATAAGCAGGGAGCAAAAATTATGGTTTTATTGATTTATTATTATAATAAAGGTACCGATACGTAATATATAAAACTCAAAATCCCCCCTACTCTCCCCAAAAAAAGGGCGTCTAAATAAATTGAAGTCCGCATATAATTTTAGATTATATTATTATTATATTCTTTATTAAAATTTGTTCATTGTACATTTTTTTCTATTTCGCACATTATTTATATCGGAAAGTCAATCGTGCTTATTGTTATTCCTTGCACATTTTAAATTCAGAACGTAGTTATTGGTTTGCTATGATATTTGTGCAAGAAAACTTGTTTCGATATACTTGAGCCATTTTTGAGCTGTTTATAGATATAATTTTTATTTGGTAGTATAAATACTTGAAAATTTAACAGAAGGTTCATTATACGTCGAACTTAACGGTTGAAAAAAAATTCGAATGTAATGTAGTATTTTTATTTTTATAAGAGTTTTAACATCAAATATTGACGAAAATTGAAAATAATGCTACCTTTCGAAACACGTATAACCGAAAATCGTTTTTCGTTAGCAAAGTTTATCGCCGTTGTTTACAGATGTAAATTAAATAAATGTACGTATCCTACCTTCCTGATTTCCCAACTATAACAGGCGCACACCCGTCCCCGATATGAGCTCTTTTATTTTAACAATTGTGAAAAAAAATTAATCGTTTTATGTTTATGTATATACTCGTGTGTATAAAAAGAAAAGAAAAAAGGTCTCGCACGGACAGGACGTCGTTGAATATTGTCAGCCCTACCTCGAGTACCGTAACTATTTAACGCCTGCCAGTGAACAACGAAAACAATATATATATATATATATTTTTTTTTTTTTTTTTTTTTATCTCTCTTTAAAATTAAATACTACACTACTGTAAAAACCGTTTGGCGTTGATTAATACATAAATGAATAAAAAAAATAATACGATAAATGATGATGGTGTGTGTGCGTTTAGTACGCCAGAACATAAACGTATGAATGAACAATCTATTATTATTATTGTTGTTGTTCGATTGAATCGCATTAGCACTGCGAACACACTCGCGCACAAAATGAACATCGCAGTGCACCGCGGCAGAAGACGAGCGTCTGTCATAACACGGCTAATTCAAGTGTATTAATGAACCCCGTATACTCCACGACGACTGCGGCGTTCAGCATACACAGTCTGGTTGACAACTTATGATAATAATTTCTATATCGCGAAATTGTATTTGTCTAGCGAATAATATTGTAATCGTTCGTGTTTGCGTATACAGGACGATCAACGTAACGCAGGGATCGACGGCCACGGCACGGCCGAAACTGCGTTTGTTAATGGAATTTCGGATACAATGTAGGTGGCTATTTTAAAATTTGTTTAAAAAAAAAAAAAAAAGACAGACATACTTAGCAAGTGGGTACAGCCACTGTTGTAGGTGGAAAATCGGGAATGCAGGATGCAGACGGGAATTGAATGTATATCTGTAAGCAACGATAAACCATTGCTAACGAAAACACGATTCTGAGCCGAGTTCAGTTTATAGTGTTGTTTTGTTAACAATATGTGTGTCATATTATGGTAAACTAATTACAACAATTTGCGTTTCCATGACAACAATGATTGTTGAAAAAATATTTATAAAATAATAAAACAATGAAACATAATAATAACAAAAAATAAATAAAACTGGTTGCCAATGACAGCCTTATTTTCAATCTTTCAATCTTTTTTAACCTTTTATAATTATCTCGAATATTAATAAGAATTTCAAAAAATGACCTCTTTAAAGTACCACCCAGAGAACATTTTTTTTTTTTTTAGAAAAGGTGCTATACTTGATAATCGGAGTATGCTTTCTAGTAGAAGTGTTCACATAAAAAAAAAAATGAAGATTTTTGTAAAACCAATAAATTCCTCGCTCCAAACGATAGTGCGTACCTATAACGCGTTTTTGAGCTATTATTTATTGTTTCTTAGATTTTCTTAAAATACACATTCCGAAAAAAAAGAATTTAATACAATAAAACTTCCATGTAACGGTCACCGAAGGGGTCGGAAATAATGACCGCTATTTAGTGATGACCGTCCTTTATAGAAGTTTACTATAGAGGCAAAACACTTGACGGTACCGAAAAACAATTACCGTTACACAGAAGCGACCGTCTTTTAGAGGCGACCGTTAACAGAAGTTTTACTGTACTATTTCCGAGACATAAATGAGAGTGTCTTACGCGTCATGTTGATCGCCCTGTTTATCGAAACTATAAACCCATATGGAATATAATTGAAATCATAGCTACGCAATCGACAAAAACGTTTACAATTGTCAATTACGCGGCCGTCTATTATTATAATACACCTTTATAGTAGATGTGAGTTCTAATAAAAATGATACATTTTTACAACACTATATAATTATTATATTTCAATCGAGATTCGGTCTTCTAGACCTAAACAAAATATAGAACAATTTACTCGGGGTTTTAAATTGTATTCGCGCCAAAATACCTCGCTCTCATAATATGTTTGCCTGATACTGCAAAAGCTTTAAAGTCGACACCAATAATTCGTTAATGCGTACTGCAAATAAATACAACTCGAAATGTTTTCGCGCGATTTCGGAAAACAAAAACCATTTTTTTCCGTGCAGTCTGGGGTGTGTTTATTATTGCGGGAGGACGGGGATTTACTGGTATACGATTTATTGATGCGAACATTTTGTGTAGGGGGGGGGGGAAATGGTGAACAGTCCCAACCCCCCGAGTATCGGGTTTAGAAACGAGGTACGCTGCCGAACCACTAGACGTTTTTAAAACTAACGTATACAAGTATTACAGTGCACTTAAGTAACTTTAACGAAAAACTAAACACTTTATTTAGCGAGAGATTATGGTCGATTTCGAGTCGAAAGATTATCGCGCGCACGTATAAACTATACGAAGTAATATAATATGCTCATAATTAACCATGTTCGTGATGAGAACGGATTTACTAGCATCTGCACGTTTTTTACAAAATACTTGAAAAAAACAAAACTAACCGAGTAAGCTTAAATTTTGTTTCGTCACAAGTAGATGAACCTACTAACACATAGAAGTAGAATTTATAAAAATGATTTCGCGTGTTTTGCAATTTCATTTTTTTTTTTTTTTAATTCTGAGCGGAGCGAGAAATATTTTGATTTTACTAAAAATTAATTATTTTTTTCTGTCTACACGATTTTTTTACCAGACATTTTGCTCCAATCGACAAACAACAGCGGACCCTTTGTTACATTTTGAATTTAATATATATATATATATGCATTGAAGAGTTCATTTTTTTTTTCTTTGATTCACCGAGTAGTTTTCGTGATGATTGGGAAATATCCGGAAAAGTCGGGAAAGTCAAAAAGCAAAACAAAACCGTTACTGACCTGCTTGAATCCTCTGTACATGATGCGGATCTCTTGTCGGGTGAACTTGGTCTGCCGGCAGAGGTCCTCTAGGGCTACGGGTCTGGCGTGCGGAAACGCGGACGAGTTGTTCAGCTGTTCCTCGAGCTCGATTAGTGTCGCCTCTTCAATGATCGGGCTGTCGGGGGGCGTCGCCATCGCACGGTGGCCCCCCAATCGTTCACCGCTGCTGTTGTTGTTGCTGTTGTTGTCGTCGCCACTGACGCTGCTGCTGCTGCTGCTGCTGCTGGCGCTGCTGTTGCTGGCGCTGTTGCTGCTGCTCCCGCCGCTGCTGTTGCTGTACGATACGGTGACGCGCGCTCTTGGCGGCCGGACAGTCGGCGCACCAGTTATTCCGCCGCATCATTATCCACGGCGCGGACGACCGGAATGCTCGCCGGCCGCGGCCACCGCCCAATTATTTTATTGCCCGACAGCACAATGCCCCCTCCGGGTAACCTGCGGGAAAACAACAAAAAAAAAAAAAAATGGTCAATAGCCGCGGTCGAATACGAACGAGCAGCACAGCATAATATAGAGAGACCCATAAAACCAATCCGATCGGATCGCATGTTTAATGGCGTTTTATATTATTCCCGTACGGCCGCCGCACAATGTGGCGTTTGTGTCACGTGCAATGCGTCCGAACCGAACGGATAACGGTTTTTAATTACATTAAGTATTTCGAAATTTAATTATCGTTAGCGGTTTTCGAACACAGACATTATCGTATATCACGCGTCTTTTACGGCCGGTCTACCGCGGCGTGTACACGCGCGATTCGCAATATTGTTTGCAGACGATTCCGCGAGTTAACGACTGCGTTGGACGCACGAAAATAAAACCGTCCGCAATATTATCGCAATCCTGTGCGGGTCGGCTGTGCCGCGGCGGCATTTGTTATGTCCGTGCGCGCGCCAAAACCATACCCGCGGACGCGCCGGCCCGGAAACTCTGCACGCGGACGCAGTCCCGGAACGCGAATAACATTGGTACATACCTAGCTGTAAAGTGTGTAAATCCGTATGCCGATCCAGCGGACAGTGGCGTATTTCGGATTTGGCCAAGATACAGAGAGTTATTGAATTTCGAAATATTTTTCGTACATAGATTGCATGATGTGTGCACCTGCCTGTGCTGGCTAAAACAAACAGAAAAAAGATCCGATTATATGTTTGATAAGTGTATTGCAATACTCAATCTGCCCTGATATTACCATACTGACATACATGTTATAGTAATTATTATTTCTTTAGCTCTGCGGATAAGGAGAAGAAAAACCTTATTATTGGTATTGTAATGGTACGGAATGGTTTCTTTTTTAACAAAGATATGTAAATCTATATTTAAGGTTTTTTTTTTATTATTATTTATTAACTTGCTACCTACCAACACACGCTTTTTTGATTTATCAATTTCTTATTGTATACCTACGGGTAAACTAATAATTCATCGAATTTTACACTAAATTCTCACAAGTTGTAAATCTTTAAGATTGATGTTAAAAATCTATCGCATTTTACATTTTTTTCTCAAATATCTGCAAAATATTAATAATTGTATGAATATGAAAAAAAAAGTTATTGTTAGAACATCTGAAAATTAATAACATCCACATTACTAACTTTATATTTGTTACAAATGTGTACACTGACTTAGAATTTAAAATAGTAAACACGTGAAAAACGAATGAACACGAAACACGAAATAAAATCTTAAGAACAAATGATAATAGAATATTAGAATTCAGCGTGTAGTTTAATCAAATCTATCTGGCTTTTTGTTCGTCCAGCCGGATAAATTACGGATTGCTTTATCAGCAATCCGCTTGATTGCCTCCCCTCCGGCGGTTTAAAGAAACGTTAAATCTATAGGAACACTCGATTCTAACGGCTGACCCGTCTGCTGAATTTAGGAACACGCACGGATAGACTAATTTTTTCATCCGGATTCAATCGCAAAAACGGTCTAACACGGGGTTATTGGGATTTTCGGTACGAAAATCGAATTATTTCTGTCGATACGGATACAATTATAACAAACGAAACGAAAAAATAAATATTATTTCTTTTTGTCGCCGGAACGGAACGGCCATAGTGTAATCGTATAAAATACGTACACACAGATCGAATTAATAGAAATGTATTTTCTTATCAAAGTTTAAGTCACGGACAAAATGTAGATTTCTGTATAGCAATCGCGGCGAATGATTGCAACCGCGTCTACCGACAAAATCTTTTATTTATTCAAGCGAATCCGATGAAAAGATTAGGCGACATCCCCGTAGTGTCGATATTATGGTATAGCTAAATTAATAATTATTCGATACGTATAACGAACGGAATCTATTCAAAGACCTTCGGGAATATTTGTTATTGAAAATATATTCAAACGAAAACTTTTTCTTTTTTTTATCAAAGTTGTTTAAAGTGAAAAGTTGATGAAATGTGTACATAATACTATTATATTGTATAGGTAGTGCCTACTGTACGAGAGATTCCGTATCATTATGACCTACTTCGCAAACGAATATTATAATATTATACTATTAATAAATAATGATATTGAATCGATGTTTCTTCCGTATAAAACATAATACAATATTAAAGAGTTAAAGGGTAGATATAATCCGGAGTTTGTCGCGTCCCAACGAAATTTCTGGTACGCGGGTTGGAATTAAAATTCAGAGTGCCGAAACATCATCTAAAACGACGCGTTCATTTCATGGCCCTAGAATTAAACGCGTACACAAAAATAGACGAATTTCTCGATCTATATTTATAAAAATAGTTTAATCGAAATTTTAAACGCGACGAGAAGACGTTTTATTTCAATTCGGCTTTGTTCACAATATGTAATTATCTTAAAAACTATTTACGATCATATTTTTAATCAGCCGTGTTTTACTACGAACACTGTATATCCGTAACGTGTATCGTTATTGATTATTTTGATATTTGCGTACTTTATACATATTACGTATAAAATTTATTTACGGTTTGTATAATATAATATTGTAGTTGACAAATGTCTCGATTTTTTTCGTTGGGACGCAAAATCGTGCGACCCGAAAAAAGTCCACCGGGCACACAGCCTGAACAAAAACCGAGGGATACAATCCCGTAATTGGGACATAACTCGTTTGTAGCCGTAGAATAATAACCATCTTGTCTACAAAAAATATATTTCATATAAATCGTTTCCAATAATTAAATACGTTTTACACAAACAAACAAATGCAATGCAATTATATACCTCATTATTGTGTACACAGCGTCACGGCGAACTTGTTTTACCTGCGAGGCCAACAAAATTCAGGAGACCCACCGCCTATAAAACCGCCTATTCGTATTTTTCTAGGGGGGCTATGGAGCGTAGCCTATATTTTCTCATCGATAATACGTTGATCAAATGACGTGAGAGTTTTTCTTCAAAAGCCGTAGATCAACGTAGTAAAATATGACGGATTACAATTTTTCGTTGCGTAATTTTTTATTTATCTTGTAAAAAATTTAGAAAATTCAACAGTTTTTGATTGCCATGTATTTATTATAAATACTAGTCTTATTTTTTCGTACACACTTCCAATATTGGAGACTGCGCGCATTGCGTCGTGCTTCGCTAAAACCGTAGGAACCGCGGTTTAGCGTTCTTCTGAAGTCTATAAACACCCGTCGAAATATTTATAGCGTACAAGTAATTCGATTAAATCTTATGTCAAAACTATTTAAAATTTCACAATATTTGGCAGTTCCGTCAAAATCGTTCCCTAAATATTGAAGTCATACGCATACCTCTACTGCCGATTGAATATCGTACGGCTCTACAGCGTATTATCCATTTTAATTTACCCGATTAATTATTATTAAAAATTACATTGTACACGGGTATCTGGTATACGAGCAATTTGATGTGCTACGGATCGTCGTCGTACAAGTCAAAAACTCGAACAGCCCGCCCACCCTGTAACTATTCAGAGGCCATTGCGTCTCTGAAATCCCTTCGCCGCGCCACTGATTTCGTATACAATAAAAAACAGGGGTTGTTTGTGAAGCACCGATACGATCCGGCTCGGCCGTGCGGGGGCTTACGTCCGGGGTCTCGCGCTTTCGGAGGCCTCGCGCTTGCGGACCCGTACATAACACGATAGCGTAATTAAAAGGACGGGCGTAAAACTGGGAAAATAATATTTTACAGAAACTTAACGATATTTTTGGGGGGGAAAAAAAACACGTAGGTACACCGCGCGTAGTCTTATCAAACGGTATTTCCGGCCGTGGCCGAGTGTATAGGGTATTATTATAAGTATATTGGACAGGAAGATAGCGGTGCACGGACCACGCTGAAAAAAATAATAATAATAAAAAAAAGGTCTCTCGAAAATACGTTTATCCGGGACCTCGCAAATCGTAACGCCGGCCCTGCGTGTTATACAATATCATATTGTATTACATTTCGTGTAAAATGCGTTTGCGACCGTTCAATGGGTAAACGCTCGGGTTTTGTACCGGTCATAAAATATGCTAAAAATTGAAATTTACTTTTTCGTCGTCCCGCCCCGCGCGGTCGGTCACGCGTCGGATTGCCGACAGTAATATTATAATAATTAAAAAAAGGCTATACCCGATACGCTATTATGAATATTTTTTATCATACATTTTAACGAACCCTACAACGATATACGTGTTGACGAAACGTAAACGTACTGCTGTTTCGCCGCGTCTGGGCGTTTGCGGCCGCGAGATAAAAAATAATATATACGAGTGGGGTAACGCCCCACTCGTCCATCAAATTTGAATTTCGCCATTTTTTTTTTTTTTTTTTTTTTTTGCGCCAATAATTAGTACTCGATTCCTGTGAATCCCCGACCATATATTTATAATTCCCGATCGACTGGCTTTCCCAAGAAAATCGAATTTTCCATGGGTAGGGCCGAGGTAACGTTAGCTCATGGAAAATTCGACTTTCCGGGAAAACCAGTCGATTCAGGAACGATAAAAACATGGTCAGTAATTCACAGGAATCGAGTAATAATTATAGGCGACTATTATTGCTCACTCTCCGGCGAATGTCATGAAAACCAAGCGCCGAAATATCTATGGTCTCCGGGTAATATAGAGAGGCTGATTCATTGTTCGAAAAATGTAAAATCAAAATTG